TTGATGGTCGTTATGTACTGGGTATTGCTATTTGATGGTCGTTATGTACTGGGTATAGCTATTTGATGGTCGTTATGTACTGGGTATTGCTATTTGATGGTCGTTATGTACTGGGTATTGCTATTTGATGGTCGTTATGTAGTGGGTATTGCTATTTGATGGTCGTTATGTACTGGGTATTGCTATTTGATGGTCTTTATGTAATGGGTATTGCTATTTGATGGTCGTTATGTAGTGGGTATTGCTATTTGATGGTCGTTATGTACTGGGTATTGCTATTTGATGGTCGCTTTGTACAGGACATAGATATTGGATAATCGTTTTGTACAGGGTATGATTAGTGGATAGTAGTTGTATTCAGTTTATGGCTTTTTGATTTGTATGTTGGAAACACACAAAAAAACACAATTGAAAAGCAAACAAAAAAGATTAATTATTCGTTCAAAATTGAATTTTGCGTTGTATATAAGACACAGTGTATCCATGTTTGTCTGTGGATACATTATGTCTACGTCTGTCTACACTGTTCTAAGTGTATATGGACAGAGTATATCTATGTGTGTCTGTGGACAGTATATCTATGTGTGTCTGTGGACAGTATATCTATGTGTGTCTGTGGACAGTATATCTATTATGTCTGTGTGTGAGTTCTAGCGTGCCAGTGATCGATATGTGAATATTGCCCGCTAGGTATGATGGGACCCATCAAATTTATCGCCACTCCCCGCACCAGCTTTTGTCCACCATCCAATCAAATTTCCTGAACCGCTCCGTTGATTGTCCAACCAAAACGTGCGTTTTATTTCAATTAGGGCCGGACTAGATCCAATCTCACCCTGTGTTTGCACGTACGGCCAGTTTTATTAGTATTTACGTGCCGGCGGTCAATTTTATCCCCTTGTGTGACGTCACAGATTGGCCATACTTGTCCACTACATTGAACTTGTGATGGCCAGAATCTCCCTCAGTGGACCGCTGGCTCATGGGTGGCCAAGTTATGGGTGGCCAAGTTATGGCCTCAGTTAACGAGCGATGTGGTAGGTCTTACTATATCATCTAGAGTTCTAGAGGGCAATATCTACTTGCCTACAGAATCTAGTGGGAAATATCTACACTTGCCTACAGAATCTAGTGGGAAATATCTACACTTGCCTACAGAATCTAGTGGGAAATATCTACACTTGCCTACAGAATCCAGTGGACAATATCTACTTGCCTACAGAATCCAGTGGGAAAATATCCACGATTTCCAGGAAATGATCGTGTTAAAATAATTGAAGGCTAGAAATCAAATATGTGAGGTTAGCCCACACTACAAGCACATAGGGTTGGACAAACGTGTGGGGTTGGCCGACATGTGGGGTTCTCTGACATGTAGGGTTGGCCGACATGTAGGGTTGGACAAACTTGTGGGGTTGGCCAACATCTAGGGTTGGACAAACATTTAGGGTTGGCCGACATGTAGGGTTGGCCGACATGTAGGGTTGGCCGACATGTAGGGTTGGCCGACATATAGGGTTGGCACTCACGTTTGGCTGACATACACGTCGGGTTGACACTCAGGTATGGTTGGCAAACACATGGGGTTGGCAATGATATAGGGTTGGCAGGCACGTTGGTTTGATCATTGAGAAACTTCCATTAAGCACGTGTCTGCTGTACATTAAAAATTCAATTATCTATCTTGATATTTCCTCATCCCACAGACGTACGTCTGTGTTATGAATAATGGCTGATGCGTCTATGATACATTTTTCCTTGTAATCTCTCTCTCTCTCTCTCACTATCTCTTTCTCTACCTCTCTCTCTTTATATATATATATATATATATATATATATATATATATATATATATATATATAGACAGACAGACAGAAGATACATACATAGATACATACATAGATACATACATAGATACATACATAGATACATTCATAGATACATACATAGATACATACATAGATACATAGATCAACTTATAGTTGTGTATATGTATATGTTGGTTATTCTGCCTGTACCTATGACACTGACATTTCCCGTGTACTCTGCTGACTTATGTCAGTTGATTGGAGAAATTAGTCGGGTATAATTTTCCCAACAAAGCCGTCCATGTATTTTTGTTTCTGGTACTGACACAGTGGGTTTTTCCTAGTGCTGACTCCCTAGAGGGCGCACAATATTTTAACAGTAATTAGCTCAGATGGTGAAGGCGGTTTTGTCTTTGTTGTCTGCAGTCGACATAGGCTCGCTTCTAACACTGGTGGTGCACCATTCACATCCATAGATGGGTGCAGACAGCCACATCCATGGATGAGTGTTGGCTATTAGGATGGGTCTAAGCCAGTACTACCATCTATGGATAGGTTTAGACTACCAACCTCCATCGATGAGTGCACTTTTAACCCTTTATGTACTGTACTTTTACACCAGCCCTGTATGAGTGTGTGTGTGGGGGGGGGGATGAATTGATTGACAGCCATGAGCTCGCATGAGACCTGAAGGCTTTGACACAAGTCCGCCTGCCAGTCATATTGGATCAACGGTTGCATTAATGCTGTTTACTTTTTCTACTCACTCGAGGCTGGGGGCGGGGGCTTGGTGGTGAGTTGGTGTTGGTGGTGAGTTGGTGTTGGTGGTGAGTTGGACGGTAACCCTTTCACGTGATCGCAGCTAGCGATTGAAAATAAATGTTTGCTATTCTCAATACCATCGACTTAAATCGCCTTCTCTAGACTGGGGAGATTGGGGGAGGGGGGGGGGGGGGTTGACTCCGCACGTAAAACTAGAAAAGTGTGAGCCGAGAAGACTAACCTAAGATTCCCTGTGTTTTTATGTACGCTAAAAATATTTAAATAACATCATAAGAGCTCTTGCCGTAATTGAGTTTAGTAAATAGATGGTCTCGCGCAAGGTCGGAATCTTCCCAAGTTAGTTCAGATGGCAACATTTTTAAGATGGGGTGCCGGGAAGATAAAACGTTCGACAGTTTGTTGTATGCTACATCAGTACTAAACAATGTTGGTTCCAACGTTGAAGTCTCGCGGGTCCCGAGAAAAAATGGGCCGCGAGATTTACTGCGGTAATTGATCCGGTGCTTCGTGAATAAATACCTAAAGTTACTGTAGGTTGGCGTTTGGGCATAAAATTTTATGTGAGAAAGGTATAATAGAGTATACCTTGTTACTTTCTGCTTTCTCCCTACACAATATATATATATGTGTATGTGTATATATACACATATATACACATATATGTATATATATATATATATATATATATATATATATATATATATATATATATATGTGTGTGTGTGTGTGTGTGTGTGTGTGTGTACACAAACACACACACACACACACACTGCCCTCGACTGACCCGAGATTTTTAATACCTTCACATGTTTTTTGTGCGAGGCTCAAGTTAAAGCGGCTTTGATTGTTTATGAAAGGGAAGTAATACTTCCCCAGGCTTATGATCTGCCCCTGACTAACCCAGGGCTGTTTAAGCAGAGCTTATTTCTTCACCATCTTCTCGGCAAGGGAACTCACTCGATTAAGATTTTATCAAATGATTCAAAGTTTCCAGGCAAAAATCGCTTCCCAGCGTTCATCGGTGATCGTTAATATCTCAGATCTAAGGCAGCTGATATGTTCTGTACTGCGTTTAATAATTTATGTCGCGTACGCATGCCTTATAATAGTCGAGGAAATGAGGCACTGGGTACATGGGCTTGGTGGTACATGGGCTTGGTGGTACATGGGCTTGGTGGTACAGAGGTTTTTGGGTACAGGGGCTTGTTGGTATAGGGGCTTCTGTGTAAAGAGGCTTTGTCGGTATAAGGGCTTTTGGGTAGAGACATTTTGGTACTGAGACATTTTAGTACAGGGGCTTGTTGATACAGAGGCTTTTTCGATCAAGGCTTATGGACACAGGGGCTTTCGAGCACAGAATCTTGTTACAAAGCCTTGTCAAGAATTTTTAACAACAAAAACACTTCTGTAGTTGGCTACTTCATAAAGTAACAGTATTTAGAATGCAGAACAATTTCTGTAACAGCTCCCAAACACACTGAACCATACACGTACTTAAGAACATTTCAACAGGCATTACTCTAGAATTTTTCAAAGAAAGATGGAATTAAAAATAAATGAACCAACTTTTGTTCTAACTTTGTAACCGGATCAAGTCGGCGAACGACCAAGAAAGACGTCCGCCACGCACGGCTGGTCAGCCAGTAGAACAATGACCACTCCTCACTTATTGATTAGTTATCAAAGTTCAATCAATTTTTTTAGAATAGAAATCTGCTCCCAACTCTACTGTTATTCGTCGTTTTCATTCATTAATCAACTAATTTATTACCCATAACGATAATTAAAAACTGATTTTAACGGCTTCATTAAACGACCGACGTCTGATCAAGTTTCAGACTTCCCTTTTTAAATCGGCCAAAAACATTTTTGTCAACGTATAAAAATTCAAAGCGGTAATAAAAGAATGTATGTATGTGTGCACGTATCGCTTAACTGGGAAATAAAAATGTATGTGTACAAGATATTGTACACTTCGTTCCACTTTCTGATACTTGTGTACATCAAATAAAGCTTAATGATTTGTGGCTTTTGGGCTTTTATAAGAACTCTTCCTCTGTTGGCCAGATACGTGTTGGCGTTTGTTGCCAATTCAATACATCAATCTTACTACAGAATACTATTTAACTTCAAGCTCTGGGTTATTTTCATCCTGAAATTTTCCAGATGCTTTTAGCTTTAGCTCCGAATGTTTGTAAGACCTGTTGGTTCGTTTCTATTATTGCCAGTCAGCAAAATATTGACTCTAGTGTTGGGTGTGGGCTGCCTTGTTGTGTATCCTGGTTCCTGTCTCAACGGCTTTGTTGGATGTAAATTTTTGTCCTAGGGTCCCATTTTGTTGTGCCGATTGTTGGATATTGGATCTGTTCTTTAGCTAAATGTTTTTTTTTATCTTTAAAACTTTTTCAGGTTGCCTGGAAACGCATGGGTGAGAAACATTTTCTGACGGTGGGGGCTTTCACCTGGGTCAAGGAGTACAACATTCAGGTGGAGCAGAGGAGGGAGGAGGGACAGGTGGGTTGCTGTCATTTTGTGTCGGTATGACGCTGTTGGATGTCGTGTTGGAGTGTTACGCTTTATATTGTCCTGGTGGTGTGTGTGTGTGGTTGGTTAAGGTCGTCTCGTGTTTGTGTGTCGCTGTCGTGTCGTGTCGCAGTGATGTTGTGTTTTTTTGTGTGTGGATATATGTGTGTTTCTGCAACCAAACTTTGATCAAATTTTAATGTTAAAATTGAAAGATTATCACTAGCTTCGATTTTAAAAAAAAAACGTTTTAAAACAATAAAATGAATGTGGCGAGATGAGTTTTCATAGTTTTTCACGTATGTGTGTGTGTGCATTTGTGTTAAAATTATTCCTTATATAATATACTCATACGTTGTGTTAAGACCCGTTTTACGTACCTCTTGTGCTAAGACGTTCTGTGTTACATACCTGTTGTGTTTACCACCATTCCTACCTCCTGCTCCCCCCTCCCCAGATGACGAGCATGAGTCTGATCATCAAGTCAGTGAAACAATCAGACGAGGGGACCTACGAGTGCCAGGTGACAGACAAGGTGCCCATCCGGTCCTACGTCTATCTGACGGTCAAACGTGAGTAGACTCAGTCTATATTGTGCGTGTGGGGGGGGGGGGGGGGGGACAAGGTGTGACAGACAAGGTGCCCATCCGCTCCTACGTCTATCTGACGGTCAAACGTGAGTAGACTCAGTCTATATTGTGCGTGTGGGGGGGGGGGGACAAGGTGTGACAGACAAGGTGCCCATCCGCTCCTACGTCTATCTGACGGTCAAACGTGAGTAGACTCAGTCTATATTGTGCGTGTGGGGGGGGGGGGACAAGGTGTGACAGACAAGGTGCCCGTCCGGTCCTACGTCTATCTGACGGTCAAACGTGAGTAGACTCAGTCTATATTGTGCGTGTGGGGGGGGGGACAAGGTGTGACAGACACGGTGCCCGTCCGGTCCTACGTCTATCTGACGGTCAAACGTGAGTAGACCGACTATATTGTGTGGGGTGGGGGTGTTAGTGTGTGTGTGCTGGGGGATGTTGACACGACTATCTGACGGTCAAACGTGAGTAGACTCAACTTAGCTTTTGTGTGTGTGTGAGCTGGGGGGGGGGGATGTTGACCCATCTGTCTGACAGCCAAACGTGAGTCACAACACTCAGCTCACACTAAGTCAACCTAGCTTGCTTGTGTTTGTGTGTGGGTGTTTATGTGTGGGTGTTTATGTGTGGGTGTTTATGTGTGCTGTTGTGTTTAACAAGCTTGGACTACCTAGCCAAGTCTATTCTTAGCGCTTCTATTCAATGTACAAACAGTGGTTTGCCGGCCTGCAGATTGGGGCGGCATTATTTAGTCTGTATGCAATGTCAGTCCCGATGTTTATAGCCAACTTCGATTTGATTGGTTGAAATAATGGAAGCAGTGGGGTTAAATGGTGGAACTCTCACAGCTGATGGTGCGGCTTTCAGCTGGTGCTAGATGAGGATGGTGCTGCAGGTTGTGCCCTGAGGGTGTACGATTTAGATGGCGCCGAGTTAGGGTCCTGCATTTAATCACTTCTCAACCACGTGTTTATGGAGGTGTAATGGGCTTCTAGAGATCATCCTTGGAGATATATATAAAGTTAAAACACGAACAGAACTAAACCCGGACCGCATTATTGCGCCGATGACGTGATGCCTCAAGTATTTCACAATGACTTTGTTTAGGAGTTGCGTTCAGAAACCTTCTCCAGAAATGTTTGACAAATGTGTTGAGAAGTGTTGCTTTTGTTCTGCGTGTCAACACACCTCTCACTTACAGCACACCTCTCACTTACAACACACACCTCACAACACACCCCTCACTTACAACACACCCCTCACTTACAACACACCCCTCACTTACAACACACCCCTCACTTACAGCACACCCCTCACTTACAGCACACCTCTCACTTACAGCACACCTCTCACAACACACCCCTCACTTACAACACACCTCTCACTTACATCACACCCCTCACTTACAACACACCCCTCACTTATATCACACCTCTCAATTACAACACACCCCTCACTTACAGTACACCTCTCATTTACATCACACCCCTCACTTACAACACACCCCTCACTTACATCACACCTCTCACTTACAACACACCTCTCACTTACAGCACACCTCTCACTTACAGCACACCTCTCACAACACACCACTCACTTACAACACACCCCTCACTTACAACACACCTCTCACTTACATCACACCCCTCACTTACAACACACCCCTCACTTACATCACAACCCTCACTTACATCACACCTCTCACTTACAACACACCCCTCACTTACAACACACCCCTCACTTACATCACACCTCTCACTTACAACACACCCCTAACTTACATCACACCTCTCACTTACAACACACCCCTCACCTACAACACACCCCTCACTTACAACACACCCCTCACCTACAACACACCCCTCACTTACAACACACCCCTCACCTACAACACACCCTTCACTTACAACACACCCCTCACCTACAACACACCCCTCACTTACAACACCCCCCTCACCCACGTGCCTCCCCCGCTTTCTGACAACAGCGTGACGTCAGCGCACGTTCATCCAACAATTTCCTGTCGATATGTGAAACAAAAGGAGACTGACAAATGTTAGACCGCCATGAAACACAAGCACAACGAGGGCTATTTATTCTCGGCTTGTACTTGACTGGAGATCGCCTACCATCACAAGACCAACTTAAGACAAGTGCCATTGTGCCTGGTCTAGTCTAGAACGTTCGTCTGGACTTGTGACGTCACACAAAGACCAACGGGTGTTTTATTTTTACTTTTTCCCCGCGTCGATAAAAGAGATTGAAAAACATGTGTTTAACGGTTAATATAGCTGCAAGCCAAACTAACTTCAATACATTCTTTGATGTTTAGTCTCACCTGAGTTTAAATTAAATTAGATTTACATTTTAATGTTGTTTTTATACGAGCACATATTTTATGTAGAACATATTTTTTTTTTAGAAAATCTTAAATTTTAAATAAAAATTTAAAAAATACAAATTATCAACTGAAAAGCAACTTAAAGCGATATAATTTTTTGAACTGAAAAAAACACTTGAAATAATAAGTTAGTTAAATGATGTGGCCCTTCAGATGAAGCTTGGGTTAAAGTTTAATACACACATGTTCTGGTGTGTGTGTTCTCCGTGGTGTTGTCGCTGTGTAATATACACTTCAGCGAGGATTTGTCGCGAGGCTATTGTCGCCTGTGATATCCTGGATTTGTCGCGAGGCTATTGTCGCCTGTGATATCCTGGATTTGTCGCGAGGCTATTGTCGCCTGTGATATCCTGCATTTGTCGCGAGGCTATTGTCGCCTGTGATATCCTGGATTTGTTTTAGCAGTAAAAATGTCGGCCTGAGATATACTTGTTCTGGTTACGGTAATCACGTGGTTTACTTGGTCAGCTCTACATATACTTGACAATGACATGCTTCACACGCAGAGTTTCTTCCAGGCATCTCTTCGGAGCCCCCCCCCCCCCCCCCGAAAAATTTTTACCGCCCCCCCCCCCCGAACGAAATGAAATTTATATAGAAAATATATACTTTTAACAGTGTCCGCCCCCCCCCCCCCCCCGAAGAAAGTCTACCGCCCCCCCCCCCCCGAAAATTTCTAGTGCCCCCCCCGGAGAAAAAAGTCTGGAAGAAACACTGTTCACACGCGCGCACCCCTTTTGTACCCCACTCATACAAGAAAACGTAATACCTGCAACAAATCTGAGAAAATATAAGCTCTTCAATTTACTAGATCAAAAGCAATCTATGTTTAAGTTGAATTCTGGCGAAGGAGAGTTTAGCCCTTCAGAGATATACTGGGTTATCAATGGCTCCTATGACAGGGGATATAACTCAGGAATATACTCTCATTTATATTCTAATACTTCTCTCCCCTGTGTAAAGCTTGCGAGACTTCCTTACACCTTTTCACCACCACCCCTCTCATTTACACCATACTTCAAAATAAATTCTTCCAGCTTATTCAGTCACAAAAATAGTTTCTTTTAAAAAAAAATAACTCGGGTTTTTTAATAGCAATCTTTATTCTTCCCGAGTGGAATAGATTTATGAGAGAGGAATAGTCTAGATTGAGCGGGTAATTTGATCAGAGGCTTACCACAGCTGCAAGTTGCTCATTTTAAATTACCAGTCTGAAATCTTTGCTCAAATTGAATCTCTATCTGATAGATTTAACCTGTCGTTAAACAATAAATATTTCAATTTTGTAGTCAGATAAATTGTATCTTGTGTTTTCTTGATATTTACATAACATTTGTTCTTGTATTATAGTGTGTTTATATTGTGTATTTATAGTGTGTAATGACAAAGGAAACGTGTGTTGTTGTTGTCACATTACGTCATAATGGCGGTGACCTGTTTGTTGGCACGTGATTCTTGTCGGCGTTAATAACTGAGACAAATGTGCACATGACGTTACGTGGTGTAATTTGAAAATAGGTGTAGTGGAAAATTGGATTCGCTTCATTGCTTTGTAAAGTATCATCCATTTACTAGCCGCCTTTAATTCTATTCACGTTACCTTGTAATATGGCTTTCGTCATCAACGACATCACAGGCTAGGAACGATAACTCCGATCATTACAATATAATTTTTTACACTTTTTTTTTAAATATATTCAAGTGCATAAATTATTTCTTTGTGAATTTTTTTTTTGTAATTTGAACACGATTTTTTATTTATTTTATTTTATTTATTTCTTGTTAAATCGTTAGTTTGTAAAATTAAATAAAAATAAATTGTGTGGGTAATGCTCACATAAGCGATCAAGGAAAAGAATGTGTTTTATACATTTAAAAGGGAGGTAAGCCCAGATACGCACTGGTAAGTTGATACTAAAAATAGCTGCACCGCTGTGTACTTTTTTGTTGAAAACACTGTGTAAATAGACAAGAGAATCTCCGCACGGAGTGTGAGCCTTCACACGTAATGGATGAGATTGCCGGCTGCTATTTGGTTTCTACACAATCCACCCCCACCACCCCTCACCTGGTATCTAGCGGCCTTAACCTTGAGCAAATATCAACAGCGACTCGCGTGGACCAGGTATTTTGACAGGACATGCACATGACATTTTTTACGCTAGTGAACTTGTTCCTGTCATGCGCAGAGATTGAGCAACATATTTGCTGTCTCTCATGCCTGCTGCACTCACCAACTGCAGACGTTTCCCCGGGGTCGCGTGGTGCATGTTACCCTCGGTCTGACAGCGAGAATGTCGGCACGGTGGGGACGTCCCCCCCCCCCCACCCCCACACATTTGATTTACAGACGTGTAGGGGAGGGTAGATCAATAGATGTGGGTGGTAGTGGATCAAAGGTTGTTGTTTCAATTGTTAGCCAAATATCAGTTATCTGGGAAATGTGTCTAAAAAGGGAGGGGGTTGGGGTGATATTTTTGTTTTATATACCTAGATGTTATAAAACTGGGGTGGGGACACAAGTGATTTCTCCTTCCCCACCCCCCCCCCCCCCCACCCCCCTTATAAATACGCTATGTAGGTAGAAATAGGGATAGCTGTGTAAGTAAAGTAGTTGTGGAAATAGCTGTGTATGAAGGCGAGTAGTTGTGAGAATAGCTGTGTATGTAATCAAGTAGTTGTGGAAATAACTGTGTATGTAGTCAAGAGTAGTTATTGAAATAGCTAAATATGTAGACAGGTAGATAGAACCACTTTGTACGAACGGACCAGAGCCGACACAAAAATATCCCAGACACTTTAAAGATAGAATTTCTCTCTTCCGTCAAAATAAATATATCAAGATATTCCATGTCGTTTACATTTTAAATTGCTCATCATTCATCAGGTAAAATAAAACTTTTTATTGTTTTTTTTTTTTTTCAGCGCGGGCAAATCCCAAGCCAGGTATGTTCAAGTTTTAGTCAGTCTCACTAGTCACAAAACAAATTTTAGTCGGTCTCAAATAGTCGCAAAACAAATTTTAGTCGGTCTCAAATAGTCACAAAACAAATTTTAGTCAGTCTCACTAGTCACAAAACAAATTTTAGTCGGTCTCACTAGTCACAAAACAAATTTTAGTCAGTCACTAGTCACAAAACTTATTTTAGTCAGTCTCAAATAGTCACAAAACAAATTTTAGTCAGTCTCACATAGTCACGAAACATTTTAGTCAGTCTCACATAGTCACGAAACATAGCGCCCCCTAACGACACATTTTCCCAGCTATAAAAACTTCAGATCAAACGTTTCTACCTGTAAATAGCCCTATAGCCCGAAATCTCCTCCTTAGGCGATAGAAGTTACAATTCAAAGTTTTATTACTCTAGTTAATCGATCACATAGAGTTAAGGTTGCAGTGATTAGCGCGGTTGGTCCACTCTACTTCTCCACAGCAATCATGATTGACGGGCAAGAGTTCGTGGACAGGAATGAACGTATCCGACTCACGTGCAATGCCACAGGTGGCGGGAATATTCCAGAAGATATCGACTGGTTCAAGGACGGGACAAAGCTCGATTCAAGGAACACCAAACACCCGAACGTCGTCATCACAAAGTACCGTTCCCTAGAGGTACCATATTGTTTTATCATCACAAAGTACCGTTCACTAGAGGTACCACATTGTTTTATCATCATGAAGTACCATTCACTATGGGTACTATATTGTTTGATTATGAATTACTGCTCCCTAAAGGTACCATATTGTTTTAAACGGGTCACTGAAAATACGTTTATTTAGCCCAAATAGTTTACCAAATATTGTCGAAACTAGACAGTTGGATACATTAGCCCCGAGCTTTAACCTGTAAGCTGACCATTCGGTCCAGCACTTGATGATGTTTGTTATCATATCGGCTTACTAACGAGCTCTGGTGCCCTCGTACAGGAGCAGGCGCTGATCAGTGAGCTGACCATCGAGCACACGGACACAGACGACACGGGGACCTACATCTGTCGGAGTTCTGACCGGGAGATCGCCAGTCGCAAGGTCACGGTCCTCGTAGGTGTGTACAATACATGTTGTGTACACGTGAAGCTCACACGTGTACATGTCCGTGTACATGTCCGGCTGATTGTTGAGTGAAGAAGTTTTACATGGCGTGTGTACATTGTGTACTAGTTAAGTGCAGGGACTACACTTTGTACATAAGACGTACAGAATCTTACACCACTAGACTTCAACCATGACATCTAGACTTTAACCATGACATCTAGACTTTAACCATGACATTTAGGCTTTAACCATGACATCTAGACTTTAACCATGACATCTAGACTTTAACCATGACATCTAGACTTTAACCATGACATTTAGGCTTTAAACATGACATCTAGGCTTTAACCATGACATCTAGGCTTTAACCATGACACCTAGGCTTTAACCATGACATTTAGGCTTTAACCATGACATTTAGGCTTTAACCATGACATCTAGGCTTTAACCATGACACCTAGGCTTTAACCATGACATTTAGGCTTTAACCATGACATTTAGGCTTTAACCATGACACCTAGGCTTTAACCATGACATCTAGACTTTAACCATGACATCTAGACTTTAACCATGACATCTAGACTTTAACCATGACATCTAGACTTTAACCATGACATTTAGGCTTTAACCATGACATCTAGGCTTTAACCATGACACCTAGGCTTTAACCATGACATTTAGGCTTTAACCATGACATTTAGGCTTTAACCATGACATCTAGGCTTTAACCATGACACCTAGGCTTTAACCATGACATTTAGGCTTTAACCATGACACCTAGGCTTTAACCATGACATCTAGACTTTAGCCATGACATCTAGACTTTAACCATGACATCTAGGCTTTAACCATGACACCTAGGCTTTAACCATGACATTTAGGCTTTAACAGGGACCTAGAATGTGTGTGCACCAGAATGTGTATGTGTGTGCATCAGGATGTGTATGTGTGTGCGTCAGGATGTGTATGTGTGTGCACCAGGATGTGTATGTGTGTGCACCAGGATGTGTATGTGTGTGCATGTGGCATTGGGCAGATAAAAAAACCATGTTATCAATTGTTGTTTTTTTTTAGTTTTAAACAAATATATCTGCTGTATACCTTGGCATCAAATGTTAAAATATGTTTTGTTTTATTTTTCATGTGACAAAAAGCAGCCGACACAACCAATGTTAAAAGAGGTAAGTTGTTTAAATAATGGTTAATGGGGTAGTTTAGATAATGGTTAATGGGGTAAGTTGTTTAGATAATGGTTAATGGGGTAGTTTAGATAATGGTTAATGGGGTAGATTGTTTAGATAATGGTTAATGGGGTGTTGTTTAGATAATGGTTAATGGGGTAAGTTGTTTAGATAATGGTTAATGAGGTAGATTGTTTAGATAATGGTTAATGGGGTGTTGTTTAGATAATGGTTAATGGGGTAAGTTGTTTAGATAATGGTTAATGGGGTAAGTTGTTTAGATAATGGTTAATGGGGTAAGTTGTTTAGATAATGGTTCATGGGGTAAGTTGTTTAGATAATGGTTTATTGGGTAAGTTGGTTAGATAATGGTTAATGGAGTAAGTTGTTTAGATAATGGTTAATGGGGTAAGTTGTTTAGATAATGGTTAATGGGGTAAGTTGTTTAGATAATGGTTCATGGGGTAAGTTGTTTAGATAATGGTTAATGAGGTGTTAAATCAGTCAGATACTGGTATGATGGGAACAAAACCACTTTGGTGAACAAAGCAGTAATTTATTACTAATTTGTTTAGTGCATTTAAACCGAGGCAATGTTGGTGACTATCATATATTGGCACATGTAACAACAGCCATAACAATATAATGCTACAATGGCACTCTTGCAGACACTGTTAGATTAATGGCACATATGGGGAGTCTAGTTGCTGGACTGGTCTGATCTCTATTTGGGAAATCAATAGATCAATCATTTCAGTTTTTTTTTCAATTATCAGTTTAACTGTTTGTTTTTTAGTTACTCTGTCATGTGAGAATAATGTCATTTTTTTAGAATGTTCTACATTTTAAGGCTATAGAAGATTTATTTGTTCTAGAATGTTCTGTGATGTACGTTGAAATAAGATTTTTCTAGAATATTTGTTTCTTCCAGTAGCCCCACACGACCCACAAGCAGACCCCTACAAAGACAAAGAGAATGGAAGCTCGCGCTGTCAGGTCCTCGTCCCACTGCTCCTGTGTTTACTCACCACTTCCTTCTTGTGACATCATCTGTTGACTGGAACTTAGTCTGTGATACGGTCCAGCTTTTACAAAATATTTGACAGCTCGAGTTCCCCTGCATCAACAAACTTAAAGTTCTTCTGATCACAACTAAGCCAAGAGATGGTCCATCAGTGAACCTTGTTCACATCCTGTAACTAGCAACACAGACATCTACTGCTACACATCCGTATGTTATTTTGTACAGTGAAGTACAATACAACACATCAGATTACTCTAGATCAACATCTCAATGTAATGCTACAGTAATTTATGGTTGTTGCATTTCTATTTTATTAAGTGGCTGCTAAAACAGTTGTAGCAGGGGCATTCACTCCAAACAATATGACAAGTTCCAGTACTCTCATAGACAAGTTCCTGTACTCTGGCTGTTGACAGAACTAGAGCACATTGAGAGATTCCTGGATTCTCTTGGAGTCATGGTGGTCTTAAGCATCCGCCATTAGAATGGGCCATGGATCTAGTACCGTGAAAATTTAGTTGTACCATATTGTCAATTGGTGAATTAGGTTTTCATCAAGAAAGTGTTGATGAGTTTTTTTACTTGTTGTATAACTCTGGTTGTTTCTCATGTCAAATATAGTTTCACTTGAATGTGCAATCTGTGTCAATTACAACGTTTAGCTAGCCGGGTCGAGGTATCAAGCCAATTTATGCTAGCTCATGGCTACAATATCTAACAGTCAGCTGCATGGTAAGCCTTCCAGAGCAATTGAGTGTGGGTGTAACACAGGGTGGAACAATCAGCCTCAAGGCTTATCAAGCCCACTCCAGCAGATTAGCATTTCCACTATACATCCAGATTATTTTAATGTAACCTAAGAACTAGTTAAACTTAAATAGAACGTTAACTGCTACATTGCTCTCAAAGAATTTAAAACACTAAAAAGGAATATATGTGACTTGACTGTAGGACACATGACTTGACTGTAAGACACACATGTGACTTGACTGTAGGACACACATGTGACTTGACTGTAGGACACATGACTTGACTGTAGGACACACATGACTTGACTGTAGGTCACACATGTGACTTGACTGTAGGACACACATGTGACTTGACTGTAGTACACATGTGACTTGACTGTAGGACACACATATGAGTTGACTGTAGGACACATGACTTGACTGTAGGACACACATATGACTTGACTGTAGGTCACACATGTGACTTGACTGTAGTACACATGTGACTTGACTGTAGGACACACATATGAGTTGACTGTAGGACACATGACTTGACTGTAGGACACACATATGACTTGACTGTAGGTCACACATGTGACTTGACTGTAGGACACACATGTGACTTGACTGTAGTACACATGTGACTTGACTGTAGGACACACATATGACTTGACTGTAGGTCACACATGTGACTTGACTGTAGGACACACATGTGACTTGACTGTAGTACACATGTGACTTGACTGTAGGACACACATATGACTTGACTGTAGGACACATGACTTGACTGTAGGACACACATATGACTTGACTGTAGGACACACATTGTGACTTGACTGTAGGACACTCAAGTGTGAGTAGCATTCTGTCCTAGAAATACTAGCCTACATATCGGGTGAAGCACAATGGTAGAACTATAATACACACCCACTCTATATTTGTTATAGTTGATTTGGTGTTAACAACATTAGCTTATGTACTCACTATCATTTACTTTTTATATGCATTCTTTAAACTTTTAGCTAGCTAATTAGGCTAAATTATTGCAATTATAAAAAAAAAAATAGGTAGATATCTAAATGATTGTAATGGTGAAAAGTTACTGTAAACAATTATCTTTTGAAGCCATTGATACAAGTTATTTAGAGACATAAGATTGACATGAAACTATTTTTTTTAAAATCATCATAAAGATTACCTCAAACAAATTAAAATGTTTTAATTTTGAAATTATTCATCTTAAATACTTATAAGATGCCACATGTCAAGTTTTTTAAATGCTTTAAGATCCCCAAGTTAACATTTGAGATCCCCAAGTTGATATTTGGGCATGAAAGAAATGGAAGCACCACAGTTATCCAGTCTCTGGTGTTTCTCAACAATGGAAAGCTGAAAACTTTTTGATGAATCTCCACTTTAAAAGTTAAAAAAAAAACTGTGTATATAACAAGTCCAATGTTCTGATAGAACAAAAGCATTTCACCCTGGATGAAATGTGAGTAGATGAGGATCTACATTTCTCTCAATGTTTCTTAATGATGCATACAGTCATTTCTGTTTTACTCTATTTCATTTCTGTAATCAATATTTTGACTTCCTGATTTTTTTTAATAAGTTATCATCTACAGTTTAAGAGTTGTCATATTTTTTCAAATACTAAATTGAAATGTTTTCTTTACATCTGTTCATCTTGTCAAATCTTGTTACTGATGTTATTCAATAATTTCATGTACAAAGATGTATATTTGATATCTGACTGTCAGGGGCACTCATATAGACAAAATATTTTATAACACTTGGTAGGAACTTTGGTGGGTAGGAATGAACATTGTGAGTAAGAATGAAGTTTGTGGCTTGAAATGGGTAGGATTGAACTTTGGTGGGTAGGAATTAACTTAGTATTACCCTCTGATATGCTTTTCTTATTGTTCTAGAAAAAATAGAACATTACTTTGATAAAAATACATGTTGCCACCAGACATGGGCAGCATTGAGAAAGTTTTTTAACAAATATCTTGGTCATTGATGGGGAAGATAAAGACTGTTTGCATATAACACATGTATATCTTTTATATATATACATATATATTTATATTATATATATACATATATATTTATATATATATGCATATATATTTATATATATATATATATATATATATATATATATATATATATAAATATATAAATATATTTATTTATATATATATATATATATATTTAAATATATAAATATATTTATTTATATATATATATATATATATATATATATATATATATATATATATATATATATATAAACTTTGCAGACATTTTTTGTAACTATTCCCTTGATAAATAACCTGGTCATCTTTGTGTGTCTAAAATTAAATTATTTCCACCCAATCACTGAAGAACATTTTAAAACGTAAAATGACATTTAAAAGGTGTTGAATAAATACATGTTTAATGAAGACTTTATGGATGAAGAATTTTATCATTAAGGTTTTGTTGTCCATTTAAACTTCTGGTGAAAGGTTGAGTGCTATTTGTGCTGAGTCATATTGTTATTTGAATCAGCTGACTCAATGCTAGAGCTCATCTAGTGTTATTATTGTCTAATCCCAACTCTGCCATATTAGTTAAATATCCAATGTTTAACACAGAAGGCCTATTGGAATTTTAAAAGGGAGATTATCTAATGGCATGTCTTTTAACTGTAGTAGTGACCCAGCATTGGTAGCACTCAGCCTGTCTGTTCTGTCTTTGGATGAGACAGCTTGTGTGTGTGTGTGTGTGTGTGATAACTTGTTGAATGCTTTTTTTCAAATTAGATTTTAGTTTTCAAATGTATGAGCTCATTATGAATGCCACTGCCATACTTGAGTTGGGTGTAATAGAACTGATTAGATTTGTCTTCATTTAGCCACTCATCAAATTCATTAGTAGACTTGTTTTTACATCTAGTTTTAAAGTATATCTACCTCAAGGCTGTTAAGCTTAGTTGTATTTATTGTCTACTGGGCCTAGCCATTATTCTACTCTCTCTGTGACCTACATAAACAAGTCAATTTTGGTTGCTATGGTATGGGATGGTGCAACTTTTCAATCACACCAAAATTTATTGTTTTGTTGTTTTGGTTTGTTTGAGTTTTTAATTGGGTTTAGTTTTTTTTAGGTAATTAGGCAGACTTGTTAGTTATGTGGGGCAGAGATTTTTAAAAATAAAAACAATGATTTTATAAAATAAACACACCATTCAAAATTTTTATTGGAAATTTTATATTGTTAAGATGCCAACATTTTTCTAGTTGCCATTTTTTAAATTTGTTTTATCATATAGGCCTAATTAAAATATATAAGTATACATATAATATATAAGTGTAAAATCAGTTAGTATAAAATGAATTTGTTGACTAATCGTCTAAAAATGTCAATCAAAACATAGTCATCCTTATTTGGGAAAAACGCAGCAGTTGTGAGCTGCTCTAGGCCTAAACATCAAGTCTTCTGTACTGATCACGTGGTCTGCACCACAGCAGATCTCAAACTGGTGTCCAACAGATGACACCATTAGACTAGCATCACTGCACACAGTGGTACATGGTTGGATAGCGGGTAGTTCGTTCATTCTCCATTCCATTCCCCTCGTTATTTCATTCATTCATTCTTTAGCCACGTGTGCAGCTCGTGACGTCATGGGTGGAAGATTGTGTTGTTGTTTTGTCAGTATATTTGAGGTGGGAGTCTGCTGTGTAAATCAATGAACCTTCTTCAAACTGTAAGTCAACATTTGGAATAAATATTCGTGTTTCAATCGTCTGCTTTGTTTTATCACCATGACTGCCTGCAGTGAGAGTTGTGTGTCGTACAACAGCCGCTTTTCTGTAACTTAATCCGCTAGTTCGTGATAAGCTGGTAGTGGTCTAAACACTTTACTACACGATGGTCTGTTGAAATGTACACCGACTGTTGTAACTTGTTTTATACATTGAAAGGTAAATAATGTTATGAGCCGCCCTAGACTGCTGTAGGACCCCTACCATTATTGTCAACAGCTTACACTGGTCTGATGTCGACTGAGTTGTGCAACAATTCCAGCAAAGTCCAATGGCTTGATCGGGTTTACCCGCTAGACACGACCCGTCAAAAGAATTCCATTCTCATTAAGTGTAAATATCTTCTGCTAGCCATCTCCATTACCATACGTGACAAGCCGTTTATCGGCTGCGTCAAGCAAGTCAACAAGATGGTGGGTAACATCACGTGTGTACAATAGGGGAAACAATTGCTGGACAGTTACTGCCCTTGTTATGGCCGCTGCTGTTGACTTTTTACTGGCGGAGTTTGGGGGAGTTGGTGACATGGTGAATACAAAACAAGACGTGGATTTATTGGCTCGATTGTTGACAAACATCTGTGTTACAGGTGTGTGATTATATGAGACAATGTGACATAAACGTGTGCTGACTGACAGATATACAGCAAATATGATCTCAGAACGTGTTATCCTCTATCCGCGGTATCCCCAGGTCTGTAAGACACATCTGAGACCTCCGAGCAGGTGTCGTTGTTCTTTTCACTTGTCCTGGGCATGTAGTCGCCAGCCCCACCGTCGCTGACGGTTTCGGTGTTGCCTTGAGTCGTAGGACCTGGCTCGTGCTGTCTTGCCGTCTTCGGTTTTGGCGGCAGGAACATTTCCAGCTTTTGCCAAAAGCAGGCTTCAGACGTGCGCAGATAGTCGTGTGTGTTCATGTAGGCACGCAGCTCGGGCGGCAGGTCGTCAACACAAACGTCGTTGGTGACGATGATAATCAGTTTATTGGACACAAGGAGCAACCTCTGGAATGAAGCTCGGACCTCCATAATGCTCCATTCTTTCTGCAAGAAGCCTTTATTCAGCACCAAGATAGAACATCTGCTCAGCCGGATGGCCCACGGGAGGTTATCTACAACTGACTCTCCGTAGGGAAAGTCACGGTAATGCAAACACAAGCGATATTTCTGTGGTAACTTTTCTATATGAGGGACCAGCGTATCTACAACATATCTGAAATTATCCTGACTATACGAGATGAAAGCGTCGTACGGGGTAAAACAGTCTCCATAGCTAAAGCTGTTTTTCAACCTTAGCCCGAGTTTGGAGAAAACCAAAACAGTTATTTCAGATCTGTAGCAAACAGCTATGCCGATGGAGGAGAAGATGGTTAACATGATCAGGGTGGCCATCAGGAACGTCTCCAAGAAGTAGTTCGAAGATTTGCAGTTCAAGTCCAAGGCGCTCAGATCCTCGACTGGCTTGCGGAGATAATCGCAGACAATGTTGCCTGGCATCCATAGAGCGGACTTGTGCTGGCTGATCCACTGGGGGAGCCACAGGCTATCACACGAACACGCCCATCTGTTGTCATGTAGGGTCACGTTGACCGCGTAATTCAACGTGATATTGCGGGTGCTTCTAGGTAGTTTCTGTAGCAAATTGTTGTGCAGGGTCAAGACCCGGATGTTCTCAAGTGCAGCAATGGCGGCAGGGGTGATGAAAGTAAGCAAGCAGTTGTGCATGTGGAGCTCAGATAAACGGTGTAGATACGATCTGTAGCTCAGCATCTGTAGGGGATTGTGATCTAGGTAGAGGTTGACGCGTTTGTTGGGGTAACTAGGCAACGTGTCCGGCATCTCAAGCAGCCGTCGTGAGGAGCAGTTGACCAGCAGAGTGTTGACGTGTTCTACAGTACACGAGCAGCTAAATGGACAGTTTTCCGAGATGATGCAGTGATTCGTGAAATACAACTCCCCAAGCGCCATCCCTTTTTGCCAGTACGGACTCGAGCACTTCATGTTTCGCATATCTTGATAAACTGTCTCAGCCGTTGTGCCATTCACTTTTAAACTGTCTAGCCAGTTCACACATTTTTCAAATTCAACCATTCCACAGTCGCAGATGTATGGGTTAAAACCGGAGCGAAGTGTAAAACTTATGTTGGCTGATTTGCGTTTGCTGCAGTCTTTGAAAGGGGGGTAAACCAATCTGTTGTACCTCAAATCCAAATGAATCTGATTTCTCCCCTCAGGAAATTGTTCTGATGTTAAACTGGTTAAAGCGTTACGGCTCAGGTCTATGTATTCCAGCCTGAAGTTCATAATGAAGGCGTGTAGCCCCATCATGTGCAGACGGTTGTGGCTGAGGTACAGCCGCTCAAGGTTTCGCAGATTGACGAAAGCGTCGTCTGGCAGCTCTTTGATAAAGTTGTGGCTGAGGTCCAAATGGGCGAGGCTCCCCATGTCTCTGATGGGCTCAATGCCTCGGATCTCGTTCTTGCTCAGGTTGATGATGCGAATATCAGGCACCAGGGTGGTGTCGATGGACTTAAAGATTGGGCTCAGGTCTGAGATTCTGTTGTCAGCCAACGACAGGTAGTTCAGATGCATAACTCTGGGGTCCAGCACGCAGTCCGGGAATCGAGTGAGTTTGTTACTCTCAAGGTTCAATGTATCTAGCCGATGCGTAAACTGTAGATAACACTCGAAACGTTCGATACTATTGTTGGGTAAACTGATCACTGCAGCTGATAGCATATATTTATCATGCCAATCCCGTGGAGTTGTAGTTGTGTTCGACCCCCTTATAGTAAGAGCCAATGTGTTCATTGTAAATTTAAGATCCATTTTTTCTAATATATCCAGGCCACCAGCTGATATGTCTATAATCCACAAGTTCATGGGCAAGACGATGTGTTTGCCATCGACCGACGGTACAATCGTGCAGTTGTCGCTAGTAAAGATGTTAAAAGATGTCGACCAGGAAGGGATATCCCATACAAGATTTTCACCATTCCGACATGTGACGTCTAATGCTGTATACGTGATGTCTTCCATACCGTTCAGCAGGGAGAGTATGGAGTGCGAGAGGCCGTCTGTCAGCTCACACGACACAGTCGCGATTCGATGCAGGATTGGCGCGAAAATACCCATAAAAACCATGTATTGTGAATTGGGGTCGAAACGTTTCAGTTCTGGTCGAAATTTTTCGCCCATTAACCCAAAATTGATCTCGTTATAATGCTTCATCGTGCTCTCCATGGGGTTATCATTGCATGTACACAAATGTGAACAGTTCGTATCAGGCTTGTACAGTGGGTTGTAGAGCAGGGTATGCCTGGGGAACACAATCAGCAGGACAGTGAGAGCTAACCCCACTGAACCAGTCCCCATGGGTACGTACTTACGTTGGGTCGTGTTCTGGCAAGGAGAACTGCATTGTCCAGGATATTTGGAAAAATATTCAGATATTTAAAAGGACTCCATGTTTTTTCTCCATATTTTCATAACAACGACGTGACGTCACTACATTTTTTTCGACGCACTGCGCAATAGTAAAAAAAAATATGGGTCAGAGAGTATTAATGGATTTATCAAAATGTTGGAAATATATTATCGAAACAAAACCTGAATTCATCAATGAGTCCCCTATTCACCATGTAGTTTTTAAAAAATCGGAACTCAATGATTAATGATAATGTCCCCAAATTTTAGTCCACAGGTTTCCAATCTATGGGTCGCGATCAGGGGGTCGCCAACTTGTAGACTAAACCTAACAAAAATATTCATTATGTTGCAAATCTTAAAGTTTTTAATGGTGTCTTAAAGTTTGAGGAACTTCATTTTTTTTTCTTAAATTTCGTGTAAACTTTTATGTTAATGCTGGTTAAATTCATTAAAAAACCCTGCATGTTGGAGATAATGTAATTAATTCCTGAAGATTCCAGTGCAGTAATAATGTAATGCATTTCTTTGTCTAATAATGCAATTCGTAGGCTATATCAGACAGTCATGTCCGTAGAATCGTAGATGTTAAAGTACAGTTTTTAAATGAAATCAAACTTTCAACATTGTTTTTAAGTTTGATGAATCATCCGCTCGTGTTTTCGTCTGCTTGTCTTCGTGAAATAAATTCATTCAGACGTGTCCCTATTTTTAGTGTGCTTGAAACTGCAAAAAGTGTAGATATGTTTCTTGAAGCAATTAAGATGGGAAAACGTGTGAGTTTGTACGGATGGTGCAGTCTCTGCTTGGATACGAAAAAAGTAAAAGAAATACTAAGGAAACATGCCTTTTTGGTATACTTTAAATACACAGCGTAGTTGGAAAGAGTAGTACCTAGCATGCTTGACTTCAGAAAAGGGAAATTAAATTACCGCATAATAAAATCTTTTTTTCCACTTGCAAAACGGGGAAGAAATTCAATCTTGGAATTTAAATGAGTAAAATTTGAAAGTGGCGATTTCTGGGCATCTCGAATCCCTTGAAAACTTGAGCGTTACTTCTGTGAGCTTTATGAAGAAATTATATTGTACGCAATTCGTTCTCTGCTTCCATTGATGTTGCCAGCATCCCCCGAATTTCAACAATAATTCTGCGGCACATACCTTGTTCCAGAGGCGTAGCGACCCTTCCCGGCGCCCGGGGACATACTTTCAATTTGGCGCCCCCCCTCGGGAGCAAATTTTCGATTTGCACCCCCCCCCCCCCTCGAACTTTTCATTTGCACCCCCCCCCCCCTCAAACTTTCGATTTGCACCCCCCCTCAAACTTTCAATTTGGCGCCCCCCTAAGGTCGGCGCCCGGGGACATATGTCCCCCCCCCCCGCCCCCCCCCCCTCGCTACGCCTCTGCCTTGTTCATAAAACCTACCACATAATTTTAGTGTGGTATATATTAAATGTGACGATGTTTGCTTTTCGATTTGTATTACCTTTTGTGTCTACATATCTCTGAGAGGGTGGATTTTCAACACGTCTTCGTTTAAAAACAAAGAAATAAATTCAACTTTGAGAATAACACGAGGAATGCGTAACCACGTGAATTGTGTGGCTAGTGAATAGAATGTTATTTCACCCATCGCATTAAATCAAATAGCGAACACTTTTAAAATGAAATAAGAGAATATTTTGGCACTTTTTAAGAACGTTGTTGAAATTGCCTTTTTTAATGGCTACTTGGATTTTATAAAGAGGCGTCGACACTCAAACTTGTTTGTGAACCTGTATTCAATGCTGAAACACACCCATTTCGAGTCGAGTCGGTAATGCTCATGGTTGCTAAACCGAAAAGTCTCGAGTTCGAACCCTCGGGCAGATGAGGCGCATAACCAGTTGACACGTATCCTTAATTGTGATGGAGGCGTGATACATTCGAAAAAAAGTCTCGAGTTCAACCCTCTGGCAGATAAGGCTCGATCCCTTCCAACACTAAAAATTATGAACGAAGAAGAAGAAAAAGACCCACTTCTTTTTCTGGTCCATGGGTCGAGTGAAGTAGAGTTAATCTCTGTGACTTCGGTATGTGAAGATAGTGTGGTCATCACTAGCCCCTACAGCCTCTACTTTCCCTAACCTGAGTTTGGTACCCATCTACTTAATTGAACCCGGATTCGAACTAGACTTCGTTTTAGCAGTTATTGGTACAAAATACTGCAACGATGCCAAATAAATTGTATTGGTTCAACATAATTTTTCTGATCAAGTGCTAATTTGCTAGTTTTAAATTCTAACAAGATAAATATGTTTTGAACCAAAAATGAATCAAATAGAAGTGCAGTTATGTAGTAATTTTTTTATTGCTCATTTTAAAAATCTATAACAAACGAATTGACATGTTGCCAAATAAAATTGTTTAACCTACAGCAGTAGAGAAAATGAAAAATGAACAATGCAAGTAGCATTGATGTTTAACCCAAGATTCACTGTTTAGATGATCACTAACAAGGCTTGACACATGAATGCTAACAAAATCCCCACCAAATATTAATGTAACCATAGAGAGATTATAACAAAAATTGGTCTTTTATGGAAACTAAAACCATTTGAAGCATTGACTGGCACCATACCACACCAAAAGGAGAAACAACAGCATAACAAGATGTACATAGTTATATTTAATCACAAATACCCAGTGAAGCAACACCAAACAATCAGAACCAATACAAGTGTACCATATTCTAGTCTTGATGCAAATAAAAATTAAAAAAAAAAAACCATTTCAAAATGAGATGAAAATTGGAAGATCAGATTCAAATACTAAACCAACCAACCATGATTCAATGATATGAGCCTATCTGATCATATAAGCTCTGCATGATGAATTGACAACATACACGTTTAGCTGCAGGCTGCCATACAACTATTTCACACAGTACAATTATACAATGGCAAATTGTGTAAGTTATTCAAACACAGCCATTTACATTTCACTCAAACTGTATGCAAACAACAATGTGGAATAAGATAGGACAGTAACATAAACAAACATTACAACTCTGTCTTCTTTTCCTTCTTCTTCTTCTTGCCATCTCTGTTGTATCCAACCAGACCATCAGTTGACTCCTTGGCCAAAAATTTGATAAACTCATCTACTTCACGGCCACCCTGTAGAATGCAAGAAAACAAGTGATGACATTTGCTAGGAAGGATGTTGTCTTAAAAAAAAAATGACATGAAAGGCTGCCGTGAAAAAATTACTTGAAAGGCTGCCAATTACTAAGGGATGCATACTTAAATTTGTCACATTCTACAAAACCAAATACTTTTTCAGCCTACATACACTGCAGTCATTTGTAAACTAAATACTTTTATTTTCTAAAAGGGTTGACAAGACAGATTTTTTTTTTTCCAAACTAAAAACTACACATGTATGAAACTCATTCAAGCTTAATTTGTAAAACGAGACATAACTTTACTTTGCAGCAGATTACTATACCATACAATAATGTACCATAAAAAATATACAATCCCAAAATAATAAATATTGATGTGTAGCACTTGATTCCATCACTATATAATAAATGCCTCTCTGAAACATGCTAGAAAGTTCTGTTTACACTCAACTGACACAAGGCACAATAACTGTCTTTTTAAAAAAAATAGATCACACTCCTTACCACGCATTTTATTTGGTACCAGTCTAAAAGAGATGCCATTCTGTAAAGTCTGAACTAGTCTATTAAATAGCAAATACTATGAAAAATGTTACCTCATATTTCTTGGGTGAACTTTTGTTGCCTTTTGGAGCATAATAAATAGTGGGGAATCTGAAATATAAAGAGAAACTATAAGCACACCAGGCAAATTATTCACTCTTTTTTAAAATAGAAAAATAATGGAAAAGATAAGCATAGAGTTAAGCATGTGTAGATAATTATAGCAAAGGTTTGGGTATTGTCCCTTTTGTTAAAATTTATTGAGGAGGAACTGTACACAAAACTGTCAGCAGCAATATAAGTAGTTATAGGTTAGGGTAGTAACGGCCCATTTGCTAGATTGTGATTACCATATGAGGTTTATGTCTCCAATATGTGAGGTTTATGTCTCCAATAAAGAATCAAGTTAGGTTTCTTGTTACCATATTAATTGTTACAAATCTAGAACAACATAACTCTTCCCAATAAGCAGAATCAGTTACTTCAGCTAAATCTCTACTACACCTTGTATCTTCAAATATTAGCTACTAACTTGTCAATACTAGTTTGGTGGTTCATCCGTAAGAACAATTCATTTTTCCTTAAGAATTTGTAAGAAATACAAACATACCCTCTAACATCATAAGGTGATGGAACATCATTTGCTGTAGCATCCATTTTAGCAATTACAAGATCCTTTTCATCCTTGAGCTGAAAAATTAAAAGTTGAATGAAATAACTAAAAAGTAAGCTATGTGTTAACAAGTTGCTTAATATAAAAATGTGTCTAAAATTAATAAGGAGCTAAATACAAATGAATACCTTTGTGGCAAGCTCCTCATATTTTGGTGCTAAACTCTTGCAGTGGCCACACCATGGAGCATAAAATTCAATCAGGACATCTTTTTCTTCATTGTTTACTATGTCATCAAAGTTTTTAGCAACTACAACCTTTAAAAAAGGGACAATTGTAATTATGTTGCAATTACAAAATATAAAGGACAGCCTATTTAAACATCTTAGAAACGGCTGCATCATTTATATTGCTTATTTTACTATGGCTGTTATATTTTAAAGATGAACCTATTTATTTATTCACCTGTATTCTAAACACCGCACATTGCATCGTAATAATCACAAAAAGCTGAACTTGAAACAAAATAGGAATACCTTTACAGGGTCATCATTGGGCTCAGGAACAGGCTCTGATTTAAGGAATGCTTCAATCTTGCCAGCCAAAAAGTCAACAACAAACTGCTCAAAAGACTCCACACTGAAACAGATGAGCATTTTGATGCATATAATGAAAATACAAGATCACCCTTCCCAGCCACACTACAAGTGATTGATTTGTACAAGGAAAGCAAAGATAACTAACCTGAATGCTTCAGTCATTTTGAATTTCTTGTTTTGGCTATCCCAAGCACAAACAACTGGCTTATCTCCACCTTTTTCTTCAATACCACATTCATCCAGCTCCCTGCTCATCTCTTCAGTATTACTGATAGCAAAATATACTTGTTCACCTTTATCACGCAGTTGTTTTCCAACTTTCATTATTCTGTAAAAAAAATATTTTTTATACTCATGTAATATACACATTACAAAAAGGCAGTGATTAAATGTACTTATACAGCATTAAAAGGTAGACAATGCTCGTATTAAAAAAAATTAAAACATATTAACAAATCTCAATATGAAAATCAGACATAATGAGAGAGAAAATAAAAAATATGTAGGCCTACCTGTTTCTCCAGTAATTGGTCCCTTTAGGGTTCTTAGTGTAATCAACATTAAAATAAGCCACCACCAGAGGCTTTGGAAAATTAGCAGCATTTCCTTGTGTACGTTCAGCACAAAGTCCAAGACTGTTAATAGAAAAAGGTATATATAAAAAAAGAATTGCTGACAAAATTATGAAGTAAATGCACACCAAACAAAAAATATTTTTTTTTACTCACGCTTCAGATCCCAAAAAGGTCTTTAGTTTGGCAGCACCAGACTCTGAAAATCTAACTTCTGCATCTTCAAATCGACTTTGCAAAACTTTAGGCCTGTATAACACAACACCCCTGAAAAAGCAAAGAAAATTATTGCACAAATTTACTTAATGTTTTATTTAAAGTTAAAAAGTAAAAATGCACCTTACATTATGATGCAAGACGTATCCTTAGCCTAGCGCTAAACAACTTTACTTAAAGAGAATAACGATTAATAATTTACACAAAAATTAAAATCAAGTAAATTATGTGCATCAGCCATATAGATTAGAAAAATATATGAAACAAATTTTAAAGAGACAATATAAACAAAAGAAACTTCCAAATATAAAAATTTGCATTTGCTTGTAATCAAAACAAAAAAGGGACATACTCAGATTCTTGTTTCATCTCAGCCTTAACTTTCTCATTAACAGTGTGTGCAAATCTTAAATCTGACAATTGGTCTGCAACTTTAAGGAAAGTCTTAGCCTCTGCACTATCTTCAGAATCAAAGTAACCTAGCAAATAAAATGAAATACAAATAAAATTATCACTAGTAAAGAAACATAGCAAATACATAAATCAATGCAAATGAAATTACTATCTTGTAACACAAAAATGAAATAATCTTATCTAGTTTTTCTTTAAAAAAAAGCAGCAAGGATAATATGGCTGTGCATCAAAATTTCTGCAAGTAGCACGTTAGTATAGAAGATACACATCAATTAAGTATCAATTTCTCTTACCAATAACACCAACTGAGTCTTTGTCAAGGAAGTTGCGTAGATCTTCCAAAGTTTCCAACTTCTTAGAAACAGGTCCAGCCTCTCTATTCATAGTTTTGACGATACCCTCTGAAATATAAATTAATGGCTGCAACTTCTCATAAAATTAAAAGCCTGCTTTTTACAAATGGAGTTACAGCATAAAACAAAGTTCCCTCTATAAGACCTAATATTTTAAATAAATATTTTTTTGTACCAGTTTCTCTTGGCCCTTCATATTCTTTTGAGAACTCTCCTCCTTTAAAGATCTTTAATGTTGGGTATCCACTAACACCATACTTGGAACATGTGCTAGTCTCAACTGTGCAATCTACCTATTAAAAAATATTTATAAGATAAGAAATTATTTATATGTATTGACACTTGCAAAAATGATTTTGGCCTTTTCAAGGTCAGTTTTACAAGGCACAATACATCATTTCTATGTGAAAATAATTATTAATTTATTTTCATTATTTTTAGTTATATTTGCCTATCAAAACAAATAGTAAAATTATTCCTGAACATTGTATCTAACAGAAGTAACTGCCCAATAGCCAAAAGCTATACAATAATTGTTTAAATGCCAACAATACATAGAAATTTACCTTCGCCAAAGGCACAGGTGGGTCAGATTTCTTAAGAATTGTGGCAGCCTTTTCATATTCTGGGGCCAATCTCTTGCAATGACCACACCTATTTAAAAGAAAAATAAAGCAATGATAAATAAATAAAGACAATTAAAGTCTAAGAATTACAATTTTAGATGAAGGATTGTTATTACAAAACTTGTGTAAAGCAATGATGTATAACCAGCACTAAAAAAAAGTACTAATAGCATATTCTATGGTGATTAAAATTACCTAATCTCATTAAGCCTTTTTAGGAAATTTTCAAAGAGAAATGTATGTGACAGTTTTTGTTTTTTTTGCAGTGATCTATGAAAGGGCGACTTTCTCAACAAAACAAGCAAGAGTATAATTGTATTTATCTTTAGTTCCTCTTGATTGCAAAGAGATAATTTTACCCACACACCATACACATTGTTGAAAAACTATTTGAGCATTGTCCTGAAAAATGCCCCCTAATTCGCCCCCCCCCCCCCCCCCAATTGCATGGGTTATTGTGGCAACATTAAATAAGTTATTAGACCTACTCACACTATGCTATGGTTTAAAATTTGAGAAATTAATAGCCTAGCCTAAATAGACTGTAATACCTAGGATTAGGAAATTTAATAGACCTAGTCTAGACTAGATTTATCTATATTAGACCAGATTCTAGATATAACCAGTAAATCTGGATGTACTTGATCTAGTGCTAGGCTAGTGAACAAGTGACTATCTCCTAGAATAGTAGATCTTGAGTTATTCTAAAAAAAGGATTATAGATAGGAACGGCTATATAATAAAGACTAGATCTATAGACACAGTAATTCTAGATCAAGAGTTCTACAAGTCTAGATCTAGATTTAGATCTAGACTCTACATCTCAAGACTAGACTCTCGACTCACTGTGACTGTAGTCATAGCATAGTGAACTTTACTGTAGTCTCACTTTAGAGACAGTAGAGTGTGTATTCTAAATCTAGATCTTGACTTAGTAGATCTAGATATAAAAGGCTTAAATAGATTATAAAAAGTAGAATCTAGATTATATGGGAATCTAGATCTAGATCTAGAATAGATTCTTTCATCTGAAGAAAAATATATTTTTTTAACCGTAAGTGGCGTAAGAGGAGTTAGGACCTCCATAAAAAACTTACCAGGGTGCATAAAATTCGACTAAAATTACATCGTATTTCGCTACTTCTGTGGCAAAGTTAGCATCAGTAAAAACAAGAACATCATCTGAAGCAAAAGTTGCTGTAAAAACAGCTGAAAAAAGGATAAAAAGATATGCCTGCATCTCGATCCGAGGGTTTCTTTTCTCTTAACTCAACAAGACTTTTGTCGCCGTGTAAATGAAAGATGATTGCCGGTGGCTCGCCAATCATGTGTTGGTAACTGTGTTGTCCGCATTTCATTGGTCCACGAAGTAAGTTTACAAGCTTCCGGAAGCAGAATTATTAAACTTTTTTTTAAAGAGTAGCTAACTTTCGTTTTTATTTTTCCGACACTAGATTTCCAGGTGTTCATTTAGACGTAGAATGCCGAGAGTATAAGATTAAATTAATTAATATGTTAAGTAATAAATGTATTTAAAATTGCACTTAGCTAGATCTACCACTTTAGTTTTAACTTTTTGTTTTTTAGCTTTGGCGTTTACTCAAGTTTACTGCCGTAGTTTAATGCGTTTATCGACCGCGGCTACCGCCCACTTTTCCTCACAATTAGTGGATCTAGAATACAGATTTATTATAGATCATAATACTAGATCTACTTTATATAGAAAAAAATGTTTTGAAATTCTAGATAAAATTGATAAATTAGTATTATTCTGCAAAGATCTACAAGTATAACCAAGGCTCAAAAAAGGGTAGAAACCACAGTGACAAGGCAAAGACAGCAGACATAATTAACGATTTTTTAACAAATACAACAGCCTCTTCTTCATTAACGATTACCCTCTTATGGTTTTACCTGTTCGTTACCCTCTCTGATAGCTACATATTACATAATGAAAGAGAAAATAAAAAACACCCTAAAGACCCCACAGATCCAATACCTGCTATACACCCTGCCCCACCTCTCCAGTCAAAATCCATCCACTTTCCAGCACAAACAACTCCCAGCAAGAAACATGTCAATACTGAACACAGTACCAAAATGATACAACATACAATAGACTACTCCTAAAAACTAAAAGATTCAAAACATAGCCTACTTATTTCTTGTATGTATTTTTTTTGTGCAAACAGAATATAATTTTTATATACCATGGCAAAAAATGTTCTCTAGCGCTATCACCATTTGATGTAGCAAAAAATGAACCCGATTAGTTCAGACATTAAATTTCTATAGCAGCCAAAGTTGGCCTCTGTCCGTCACAACTTATGCCTTTTATACATATAGATAGTGGGGAGTAGTGAGAAGCAGAACACCAATTTTACCCCTCCAAAAAAAAAATTTTCTTTTCTCTTTTATCCGTCTAGAATAATCCCAAACATTTCCAATCACTTATAGATCTATATGCAATTGTTTGACATTGTTATTAAGACATGATAGTAAATGTAGACATTTGTGACATATATACATATACACACACACATATATATATATATATATATATATATATATATATATATATATATATATATATATATATATAAATAAAACTCTATATATATGTATACATATATATATATATATATATATATATATATATATATATATATATATATATATATATATATATATATATGTGACCAATAGCTGCAGCAGCATGTGTGACGTTCTTTTTTAGGTCTTGTGCGACCCCCTCACGACACCCAATATTCCAACACTTTATTCCTTCTTGAATATTCACAGTTCAGATAATTAGGTGAATCTCAACTCAACAGACCCCCAATGTCACAGGTCCACACACTATAACACTCCGTATCTCAATCTATTAACACTTGTCTCTGCATTCAATCCATTCTATATCTCTCTTCATTCCAGCAACGGTTCTAAATGCACATCTTCTGTCTCTCACATCTTCTGTCTCTCTGCTCACATTTTCGATCTCGCTCTCTCTACCCAATAGCTTGTCCATTTGTTTTTAAGTTTACAAGTCAAATTCTATTTTAGTATCACCAGCTACATCACAACAGTTTCATTATAACTATAAATAACTCAGTTCAGTTATGGCCTTGACCTTGTGCTTATTGCCAACCAAATACGTTGTTTTTGTAACTACACTAGTTACATATATATATGTATGTATGTATGTATGTATATATATATATATATATATATATATATATATATATATATATATATATATATATATATTACATATATATATTAAATATATATAGAGAGAGAGAGGAGAGTTATATATATCCTAGGCTACATTACATTACCCCCTCCCCAGGACATTTCCCCCTCCCCCCTCCCGGTATTTACCCCCCCCCCCCCCGAGCAATTACTACCCCCCTGTCAATTAACCCCCTGGGGAATAACCCCCATCCACCAAAATAGAATCCTGATTCTAACTCCAACTCTATACCAATATATTACCTTAATCCTAACCTTAAGATCAAAATGAAAAACCTAAGAATTCACCTCACCCTAAGATAAAACCCAACTCTAGACATTGATTTAAGCCTAACCCTGATCCTAATCCTAGCCATAGCCCTAACCCTAGCGCTAACCCTAGCTGAACCTTAATTTTTTTAGTAATTTAATGTCAAATTTGTTGAGAGGGAGGGGTGTAACATCTATTTAATAACATGTTTTCTTTTATCTTTTTTATAACAGAAAATCCAGAATAACTTTTGGCTTGATGTATTCATAACTGAACTCGAACTTAAATCTTAAACACTAACCTACAATGTGATTATATAGCAAAACAATCTCTGCAAGGAAGTTCAACTATCACATGATGAATATAGGACATAAGTCAAGTGGTTCTCAAGATGGCGTCTACCAACAAAGAAATAAACAAAAAGTGAGTACAACCGTTTGATATATTGTAGCCTATACGCATCACTAACTGTGTATGACTTGAGCATATTGTGTGGTGAAAAGCTCATTTTGTTTAATCTGTCCCATTGTGTTCATTACACATTCCAGAATGGTTGCTACTAGCTTAGTCTGTCCCATTGTGTTCATTACACATTCCAGAATGGCTGTTACTAGCTTAGTCTGTCCCATTGTGTTCATTACACATTCCAGAATGGTTGTTACTAGCTTAGTCTGTCCCATTGTGTTCATTACACATTTCAGAATGGTTGTTACTAGCTTAGTCTTCAATAGGGACTCTACAGCTATGGATAATCCCTGAACCTAGACTTGGCCCTAATTCTAACTCTTACCCTAACTGCATTTGATTATAAGTAAATGTGCAACATTGTATGTTGTTTTGAGTTTTGTGTTTTTCGTGTATAACTTCTAACACCTACAGTTCCATTCCCACAGCATATGCTTCTCTCAACTTTCTTGGTTCAATGCTGAATCTAAAGGCTTCAGTCTTCCTTAAACATCCACTCATTCTTTTACTGTCTGGCAACTGAGAAATACCCAAGGGAAAGAACAGGCTTATAGCATCTATATTCATTCTTTCAACAATTATTTCACAGTAATCTGTCTTTTAAAAAATTATTTGTTGAATAGAATATACAATATAAAATATATTTCATGTTGTACAATGTAATGCAATACAATACAAATAAGTGTAATGTAGTAGAATTAATGTATAACAGAATATTATATAGAATAGAAGATAGAATATAGACTCTATATATATATAAATGAAAGTTTGTTTGTGTGTCTGTGGGTTTGTCTTTTCTGCATTACAACACCATTCATCCAATCGCCATGAAATTATGGGGAGTGATGAATATTTTTTGGGAAGGTTTCTGCAGAATAAAATATTTTTAATTTTGTAAGGGCAGCAACCGGCAGGGTGCAGTTTGGCTCCCTAAGCTTCCTTGCCAGAACTATGGGCCTACACTTGGTTTAAAGAGTGCTATACACTATCTATATGGTGGACTACTATAATCGTTCATGACATTGAATCAAGCACATCCGCCAGCGGTCATGCTACCTGCAACACCCTGGGCTCCCCCATGAGCACTATGATGCCTACATTTCTTTTAAAGACCACAATACAGTACAGACATGTTGGCACACGAAATCCAATGATTAAACTGAACCAGAGGCTGTACCCGTTGCCCCTGCGTGAGTGTACCTAGGGCTCCCAAGAGCACTCTGTGGCACCCTTGACACCTAGGTGATCACAGAGGGGTATCTATTATGGGGGGTGGGAGGGAGAGTCAAAACCATGGCATAACAAATAAGATCCAAGAAGTAGTGCTGGCATTGTTTATAAGGTCGTGCATCTAAATATTTATGATCGGTAACGCATTGTTCAAATCCTCTTAAAACATTGCATCAGCCTAGAGAAAATAGAGAAGAGAAAATAATCATTATAATATAATATATATAAATACATACAGAAATCTGTAATTAAAATTTATTGATGTTGGCCCAAATGTTTTCTTTTTACATTTATTTGAACTATACTTTATTTTTTTTTAAAGTTAAATGTATACCTACTGATACTTTCTATTTTAAACCACCATGGTCTTTCTCTTTTGTTTTCATTTCAGTACCTTGATATAACCAGCACTAGCCACTACCTTGATCATATGCTGAACTATTTGATTGCCTATTGCTGTTTTTTGTGGCATTTGGTTTGTTCAGCTCGTACATATTTGGCTTAGAGAGCTTGACTAACAAGTTTTGATGGCTTTTTAAAAAGACACCTTATTTTGTCAGAGGCGCAATTGCAGTTATTTTCCTATTATTTAGATATTTATTGCTTGTAACTTGGGATCATGATACATTCCCACCCTTCCTCACCCCAACATACATTCACACCCTTCCTGTTCCCATTATACTTGCCCACCCTTCTCCCACCAATTTACCCACCGTTGACAGTAAATTAACATGTTCCACCAATAGGATTTTTATAAAAGGAATAGTGAACTTGGTTGGAAACAAAAATTGTTGTGAGAGTTAGAGGGCTATTGTCCTCGGGCGTATTAACAAATGTGATTACAGTATGCACATTTACAAAAACCTGTACAGTATGCACATTTATTTCCCCATTAATGACCAGAATTGTCACTGACTATTGCAGCCTGTCATGCCTGAGGGTAAGAGATATCGAGGCCATTGATTACCCGCACCAGCTGGAGGATGCCATCAGAAACAACCAAGCCAGCGCGCTGTCAGAAATTCTGCTAAAGGTATGCCATCTCACACAGTGGCTGCTTCTCTGTTCTTCCTCCACCCATAGCAGCTGTCCAATGTCTTCTGTACTTGGTGAGTGACTTCCTAGTTGTTTGTAGGGGCAGGTGAGGTCTTTGTTTGTTGATTGGTCTACCTAGGGTGGCTGATAGTAATGCTAGAGGCTTAGAGATAGTGCACATAGGTACAGTTGGTGCTTTTAGATAGATCTAGTCATGGCTCTTGTCTACTTGATTTAGTCTACTGTTTGTGCACCTCATTTTTGTGCTCTAATGTTTTAAGGTTTTGAAAGTTTGATTGAGTAAACTGATGTTATATGCAGATAAAAAGAGAAAAAAAACAAGTTACAATATATCTAGGTTGAGAGAAAAAATGTAATGTCTTCCTACATGTACTGTAGTGTTGTCAAAAAAATAATTTATTGTCTAGTGTTTCAAAACTGATGTTGTTTTCCTGAGGTGTGTGTGATGTTTTTCTTGCCTGTGTCTATCAGGTAGATGTCAACATTAGTCTGAATGTGAAACATGACTCATGTCTATCAGGTAGATGTCAACATTAGTCTGAATGTGAAACATGACTCATGTCTATCAGGTAGATGTCAACATTAGTCTGAATGTGAAACATGACTCATGTCTCTCAGGTAGATGTCAACATTAGTCTGAATGTGAAACATGACTCATGTCTATCAGGTAGATGTCAACATTAGTCTGAATGTGAAACATGACTCATGTCTATCAGGTAGATGTCAACATTAGTCTGAATGTGAAACATGACTCATGTCTATCAGGTAGATGTCAACATTAGTCTGAATGTGAAACATGACTCATGTCTATCAGGTAGATGTCAACATTAGTCTGAATGTGAAACATGACTCATGTCTATCAGGTAGATGTCAACATTAGTCTGAATGTGAAACATGACTCATGTCTATCAGGTAGATGTCAACATTAGTCTGAATGTGAAACATGACTCGGCTCTAATCCTGGCAGTGCGGGCCAGCAATGAGTCTATGGTGAAAACTCTGCTGGCATCTCCTGGCTGTAACCTGGCCTATCAGAACATCAACCTTTACTCACCTCTAGACATAGCTCTGGTAGGTATCTCATGTCCCCATCAGAACATCAACCTTTACTCACCTCTAGACATATATATATATATATATTCAGACCCCTTTGAGTTTTAGTAGTATATAGCTGAGAAGGAAAATTGAAGTTGTCATTTGTGTAATTATTGATTAAACTATCCAGCTGGCTCTAATTGAGCAAAATTTTAATGCCCTTCAGGTTTTGGTTCACCACAGCCAATGTGAATCAAACTGGAACATTCTACATCTTCTCCTAGAGGCTGGTGCCGAGCCATCCTGTCCCTACGCCATTCTGTCTGTTATTCTAACCGCCCTGGAGAAGGATCAAACAGAATTTCTTGTGCGTCTGATCAGGACATTTGTAGATTTCTCAAGTTCTATTCAGCTGCATGGTGTGCTTATGGCCAAACTCCAACGCCATCAGCCCTACTATACAGGGAATATGTTTGATCCGCTGCTTGAATGTGCCTCAGACTTTACCATCAAATTAATCAAAAGCAAATGTGACAATGAAAGCCTAAAACTTATTGTTTCCACTTTGCCTGTTTACTTAGATTTTTATCTTGTCACATGTCAGTTTAAGCGCAACTTACTTATTAAATTTATTGTTTATCTTAGTGTTGTTGGTTGGCGCTGGACTGACCGGTTCCACTTGAATTTGATCACCAACTTAAGCTCTGGTTTAGCTCAGTGGTGTCAGAGCTTAAGACACACCCCCCACTCCTTGAAGCACATGTGTAGAGTAGCACTTTTGTCTTCCCCTACAGGTAGGCAATACATGGCTGTCTCGCACGTGCCTAGTTTAATCTGCAGGTACTTAAAATATGCAGATATTGATTCACTGGCTCCATTTAGTCCAAATTACAATTTTAACTCAATATTGTTGTAACATCTGAGCAAAGGAAGCTTGGACCCCATGTTAGTATGTTACATCTGGAACATGTATGAGAACAAATCCTGGAACAAGTTGTTTTATCTGGAGCTGTTTGTAAAACATTTATGTTCATACCCTGAGCAGTTTAGGAAGACTAGTACTGTGTAGTATACCATATGCACATTGTGCTTACAGTAATGTTTTCTGTGCAGCTGATGATTCGTACTTTGTTTCTCTTTACGGACATCACTGTCTCATGAGTTGTCTCCCATTAGCCAGGCAGGTCTCAACACGGCAGACTTTGAGTATCTGGCTTATGTCCGTTGTGATGATTTGTACTAAAAGGTAGAAAAAGTATGATGTGTTGAGTTCAGTAAATAGAGAGATAATGCAGTCAGCATTTTACCATTACATTTCAAAAAGGAAATACAAAAATAATAATAATAACAATAAATTTATCCACAATTTTACCTATAATGCATTTCCATTCTGAAAGTAAAAATGATATTTCATAAGATATTTTATCTTATGGATTCTAGTTTTCATGTGTTCATATGTGTTTTTAAACACAATAGCCATTTTGATACAGTAGACTTTTTCACCCAAAAAATGACACATCTATTTATGCCCAGACTATGAAAATGTTCCATATACCTGCAACTTGTGTAGTGTACATGTTCAAGCTTTTCATACTTGTTCTGTATGTGAGCCATCCTAGCATTGGGAGAGGTTGTATGTGTTAAACCCACTGCTTGAAGTTTTAAGCATTACTTAACCTGAAAACATGCTATTTCTGAATTGTGTAGTGTTTTTATAATACTAGTTTTACACAAGACTAACACAACCACAGCAAGTTTTTTTTATTTTAAAAAACCCGAAAAATGTAAACATTTTGACTTTATTTAGGCTGTAGTGTGATATTTAATTTGAATTTTGCTATTTCTTCCTTATTTTATATTTGAAATGGCAATTTGTGTTGTGAATAACTAATCTTGTTCAAGTTATTACTTTGTATTTTTATATTAAAAATGGCAAGTCTTGTGTGATGTAGTATAGTAATCATATCCTTGTGTAAGTAGTTTGGTTTTATTGTTTACATTTCAAATGGCAATTCTTGTGTCTTGTAGCAATATCCTTGCATGAGTGCTCTTTTACTGACATAGACCTTTGCTTAAGGTTGTCACTCACTGACATAGACCTTTGCTTAGGGTTGTCACTTACTGACATAGACCTTTGCTTAGGGTTGTCACTTACTGACATAGACCTTTGCTTAGGGTTGTCACTCACTGACATAGACCTTTGCTTAAGGTTGTCACTCATTGACATAGACCTTTGCTTAAGGTTGTCACTCACTGACATAGACCTTTGCTTAGGGTTGTCACTTACTGACATAGACCTTTGCTTAGGGTTGTCACTCACTGACATAGACCTTTGCTTAGGGTTGTCACTTACTGACATAGACCTTTGCTTAGGGTTGTCACTCACTGACATAGACCTTTGCTTAAGGTTGTCACTCATTGACATAGACCTTTGCTTAAGGTTGTCACTTACTGACATAGACCTTTGCTTAAGGTTGTCACTTACTGACATAGACCTTTGCTTAAGGTTGTCACTTACTGACATAGACCTTTGCTTAAGGTTGTCACTTACTGACATAGACCTTTGCTTAAGGTTGTCACTTACTGACATAGACCTTTGCTTAAGGTTGTCACTCACTGACATAGACCTTTGCTTAAGGTTGTCACTCACTGACATAGACCTTTGCTTAAGGTTGTCACTTACTGACATAGACCTTTGCTTAAGGTTGTCACTTACTGACATAGACCTTTGCTTAAGGTTGTCACTCACTGACTTTGACCTTTTCCTAGTGTGAAATGTAAACCATTCCTTAATTCTCTCACAAGCAAATTGCAACAAGTCCCCAGCAAAGGTCTATGTTAACACTGTTTCTAGTCACTCATTTGTACTATAGAAAATATTTTTTTACTGTTGTCTGTTCAAAAGTGCAATTAAAATTAAAATAGCCTGCAATATTTTTCAAAGAAGTAACCATTCTTCAACATTATAATGTTAAGTAAAATAAATCAAATATTGCGTACAAAATTTAGATGTAAAAATTTGAGATTTGTTCCAATGTTGTCCACCAAGCATTAAAGTTTGATTCTACACTGTGAGTGAGGGTGATACAAACATGTGCCTTCATGGGAACAGTGAAAAGCAACTATTGAATTTCTCATATTTTAAGCTCACCATGTGCTCCGCAGCTGTTCCACACGTTTGTGTTTGATCAGTTGGTGGATCAATAAAAGTAGGTCTGTATTATTCACAGATTGGTATCAGCTTAAAATTATGGCCACAAGTTAGATGCATTAACTGGGGCTGGGGGGTATCACTAGGTTCTAGACTCACTGATAAATAACTTTTTGTATTAAATATTCAAATGATTTCACTCTGCTGAGTAATAGCTTACTACCTGTTTGGTAAAATAAATAAATAGTTTGTATGAACATTATTTTCACCTGTACTAGTAAATTATCCAGATTTTTATACCTAGAATAATTGAAATGTAATTTTTTTTATATAACAAAATCAACTCAGCTGTATTAAATGATCAATTCTCTCACCGAACAAGTTCACTAACTCCGTGTGAAAATATATTTTTTGTACTTCCATTTTGAAGAATCCTTCACCTCACGGACCAGCAATACTTTTTTTTATTGAAATTCAACTGCTCACTTGTACATGATCTTTACTTGATGCTGCTTCACGTTTTACTGCAGACATTTATACTCCACATTTCCTGTTGTCTGTGTCCACACTGCTTCAGCTACTGCACAAACTTTTGGTGTCTAATACAGACTGGGTGGCAGGAACCTATTTCACATTGGCGCTGAGTCTAATCAGTAGAAGTTGTAACTATTTCACATTGCTGTATTTTTTAACTGATTGTTAAAATATATTGCTGTTTCCTGGTCAAAAGTTATGTTAGGTATCACTGTGATACTTACTGGTCAAAAGTTAGGTTAGGTATCACTGTGATACCTACTGGTCAAAAGTTAGGTTGGGTATCACTGTGATACTTACTGGTCAAAAGTTAGGTTAGGGCATCACCTACTGGTCAAGAGCTTTATTGGTGCTCCACCAAAACACATTTTTCTATTTACTTTATGATATACTCCCTCATGGCGCATTTCTGTTCAAATGTTTTTTTTTAACTTTTTAAAATTACTTTAAGCTCATTTTTTTCTGATTATTAACTTGAATACTCTTTTAAGTCTCATGTACTTAAATTCAGCAATTTTTATATATGTATTACCTTAATTACCTTAATTAATCATTTTAATAATTTTCTTGCTTTTAAAATACATTTAACCTACATAATAAGCATAATTTTCTCTTTTTCATTCTGCAATACTCATTATATAATTTTTATTTAATAATCCTCTGTACTTGCCTGTTATACATGTAATACAAGATTATGTATCAATATCTACTGTCTGTATGTGTAGTTTGTTGTTATGTGCTGTAATTGACCATTGTATGTGAAACAAGTTTTCTGTTTGACATACTGTGCAGTGTGTGTAAAACTCAGTCTAGCCTGTCAAAGATTGAATCTTATTTGACCTGAAATTATTTTGGGCAGTGAGTTTAGACTAGGAAATAAGGTTTTCAGTCATTGTATGTGTTTGTAACATTATAAAGTATACAGTTCCTAATCTCAGCTTTCATTGGTTGCTATGATAACAAATTAACTGGGGATATTTTTTTAACTGTCCCCCCATTACGCCTGTTTTAAAAGTTTTTACTTTATTTTATGATAATGCTACACTAACAGCGAGCAGAAGAAATTTTTTTGTAATCAGTTCGGCTAAAAAACTTATTGTCTCAGTTGTTTTTTATACGTGAGTTGAACTAACATTTTTCTGTAATCAGTTCGGCTAAAAAACTTACTGTCTCAGTTGTTTTTATACATGAATTGAACTATCACTTGATTTCAGCGTATTTTTGTTGATGTTTTTTTGTTTTTTTAAAAGGTGTCAGATGTAAATTTTGTTTTTGATAATTTTTCTGCCCCTGCCAAAGTCTTACCATTTCTAGTTTGATCAAGGTATTTGTTGCCTGATGAACTGGCTCTTGAACTCTTTTTTTGGGGCAATCTGGTGTTTTTTGCCACATTGCTGCTTTCTTATTAATCATTTGACGCCAATTATTTGCTGTAAAATTAGCATAATTTTTTTTAAGTTTCATTAAAACTTTTGAATTTGAAGAAGTTTTTTTTTTTCATTTTTTTGCAAGCAAGATTTGTACTAAAATTACGAGTGGAGGTAATTGAATTTGATTGTAAGGTTTGAGATTTATCAAGATCAATAGCAACTGGTAATCTGGTGGCTGGCTATTGATTGAAGTAACAGCTGTTGGACACAATCAATGTGGATCTGTGCATACACAATCTATGTGGGTCTGTGCTTACACAATCTATAGGTATATGTGCTTACACAATCAATATGGATCTGTGCTTACACAATTTGGATATCTGTGCTTACACAATTTGGATATCTGTGCTTACACAATCAATGTGGATCTATACTTACACAATGTGGATCTGCTTACACAATCAATAGGTATCTGTGCTTACACAATCAGTGTGGGTCTGTGCTTACACAATCAATATGGATCAGTCCTTAATACTTTTTTGCCTATACTGTGGTGTCAAGTGTTTAAGAAAAAATGAAAGATAAGGATTTTAAAAGTATTCTCAAACCATTCAATATTTTAGTTGAGATGCAGTAGCTGTGCTTATCTTACATAGCCACAGTCCTAACTTTTATCAGCTAGATTTTTAAAGAACTTTTTTATTATGAATTTACTTGAATTGGTATGTAACAAAATATTTAATTTTAATTGTTTTTAACAGTTTTCACAAACCATCTCTTCAATGAATATTTTACACTTTGTAGAGGCCTACTTAATTTCTAACTTAAAAAATTAGTAAAATATCCCTTTCAAATATCAGGTGATTCAGTGCTACTGTTTAAGATGCAAATAATCACCGATAAGGCAGCTTACTTGACAGCAACTAATCCCTCACTATGTAATTTATCATACATACTTAAACAAAACTAGAAAACATTATTACAATAAATATTTAATAAAACACCTTTTTATGCATGCTTAAATCATTTCTAGAAAGGTATTTGTAATAAAATATTTAATTTTATCTTTTTTTTTTACATTTACAATGTCCATATGACAAAGTGAAGCATGAATGACAATACTAATATCACATTTTAAACTATCACACAATGCATCAGTAACCGTGATAATGACAAAGTGGTTGTTAAATTAATTTTACAAAAAATGTTCTCACAAATTGTATGTAGTGATTTGTATTATTCACTGCAAATGTGATCATTAGTAAGTTTTGCTAGACTTAAAGTTTTTTAGCTTCCTTGGATGCCAAAAAATGTTCAGTGACTTAAAAATGTGTGATACTAAACCAGTGAAACAAAGTTGCAGCTATACATTTTAAGATAAATAATATGGTCGTATTACATTTACAACACTGATAAAGATTTATTTAAGGAAGCCAAAAATTGGCATTGAAGTGTGTAAAAGAAAGACTTGTAGAATACTGAGGCTTGTCCACATTAGGCTTGCCTATCTGAGGCTTGCCCACATGAAGTTTGCCTACATGAGGAAATTCTTATTAGCAAGCTTTGTTTTTAAAAGAAATAGGTAAATAAACCAACAGCTGCCCGGGCAGATGAGGCCCGATAGCTGGGGACAGCAACTCTTCTAGGAGAGATAACTCTAAAATCAAACAACTGCCCCTTGTAGTTTGTTCTTGGTTGGACAAAAGCTATGGAAGCAAATCCAAAAAAAAGCAGGCTGAAATCGGAGTCAGTGGCCAATATGGCACATAACAAGTTGACACATAAAGGAATCCCTTCCAACATTAAAAATTAAGAACAAAGAAGAAGAAACTCAGCTGGGAAATTCTTCTGGTGAATTCTAATCTCATTACAAAATTAGCTTGATTCTTTTCAAAGACCAGGTGATGCATCAAGTTGATGGAATTCACCTGTTTGCATGATTACACACAAATAAAGGAATTGTGTGGTAATTATGGGGCGCTAGCTAGTTGGCCTGGGCCATAGCCTAGTACACTATCAGCTGGCCATTAGACCTAGTTGGCCTGGGCCGTAGCCTAGTACACTATCAGCTGGCCATTAGACCTAGGTGGCCTGGATCATAGCCTATACAATATACTAATTTTGGGCAAGTTCAAAATGTGCTATTTTTTTAAATTAATCAGCATAAAATAATAAATTTAAAAAAAAAGTCAGCCTGTGCAAATTGAAACAGTTTAAAAGCATACGAACAAGAAAAATGCAGTTCATAAAAGGAAGTCTTGAGTCTGTTTTTAGCCATATTTACAAGCACCTATATTTTCTTTAAAAAACATCACAGTAAAAAAATCCTCCCCCTCCCATTAAATCACTCTTCACTTTCAGCCATCTTGTTTAAGTGTTCTGATCCTCTGTCATGGTGTCATTGTTTACGTCACACTGCCGTGGGATGTGGCGCTAGGCTTAGAGACAGAAACCCCTTGACTGTTGTAGTACTCAGAAATCTGATGCTGCAACTTTTCTATAGCGTTCATCTTCTGCTGCAGGATGTCACTTACACGTCTCAGGTAGTTATCAAATCCCTGGAACAAATAGAGCTATATCCTAATGCACAAAACTAGACTAGCAAAACCCTAGAACAAATAGAGCTATATCCTAATGCACAAAACTAGACTAGCAAAACCCTAGAACAAATAGACCTATATCCTAATGCACAAAACTAGACTAGCAAAACCCTGGAACAAATAGACCTATATCATAATGCACAAAACTAGACTAGCAAAACCCTGGAACAAATAGACCTATATCCTAATGCACAAAACTAGACTAGTAATCAGCAAAACCCTAGAACAAATAGAGCTATATCCTAATGCACAAAACTAGACTAGCAAAACCCTGGAACAAATAGACCTATATCCTAATGCACAAAACTAGACTAGCAAATCCCTGGAACAAATAGAGCTATATCCTAATGCACAAAACTAGACTAGCAAAACAAGGAACAAATAGATCTATATCCTAATGCACAAAACTAGACTAGCAAAACCCTGGAACAAATAGACCTATATCCTAATGCACAAAACTAGACAAGCAAAACCCTGGAACAAATAGACCTATATCCTAATGCACAAAACTAGACAAGCAATCAGCTAAACCCTGGAACAAATAGACCTATATCCTAATGCACAAAACTAGACTAGAAAATCCCTGGAACAAATAGACCTCCATAATAGTATTCAGCTGTGCAGATATACTACATTAAACTGTATTGAAATGAAGTGCAATATAATATCCCATGCATTAAAAAAATTGTGCTTACAATTTTTCCTGAAGCATTCTTGGTATTGAGCAACAATTTCATCTCAGTTTTGCAGAGGGAGGTAACTACAGCTAGCTGGTCTTCATGGGAGATAACAAGCTGTGTCCTGTAGATAACCATGCTCAGTATATCATAACATTCCCTCCCTTTTATAATTTAAACTTTTGTTATTAAAAATCATACCAAGCTGCTCTTAAACATCTGAATTTAGTTTGAAAATTTAGTTCGTTAAATAGCACTGTCACGTTGTGTAAGTGGGGATATTAAAAAATAATCTCCCTTGGATTTGGGAGAAACTTATTGTGTGTACACCAGAAAACTTTACCTGGCTTCTTGTAGTTCAGTGGGATGGAGCACAACTGAGCTAACTTGTAGTTCAGTGGGATGGCCTTCCATAGCTGAGACAGGGGTGGGCTGGAGCACAACTGAGCTAACTGTCGAGGCCTCTGCTTGAGATTTGCCACCTACACTTGTCACAGGCTGGGGGTGGATAGGGGAGAAAACTGCACCTGACGTCAGCTTTTCTGTCACAATGGCAGGACTGCAAAAATAAATGTGAAGAGTGAGGTGCCAGTTGGTCTGTTTTATCTGCCCTCATACTTCCAACTTATGATCCTAGCAATCTGTAAACCTGAGACTTTTAAATCTCTGCATTACTGGAAGATAATCCTATAAAAGTTATTATTTTTCTTCAGTGATAACTTAATTAAACATTGAAACATTTCTATTACAGATTATTTTATTAACATCTAACAGGGATTTATTATACATATCTGCATGATCAAAACATGTGCTTTGTTTACTTGTAACATTTATATTACAACATGCTGTATAACAGCTAAAATCAGTCTATTAGAAAACAATGCAAGAAAATTGTTGAATATTTACTTATGTTTGACAGGAGTATGCTGAGAAATGTGTCCAGTATTTAGCCCCTGTGAAACATGGTTCTTCTCTTCAACTCTAGTGGTTGGCACTTGTGGGAGTTGCTTCCCTTTAGACCTTGGCTTGTCTGACAGTTTAAAACCTAGCTGACTGCTAGGACTGTGATGCTGACTAGGGTTCACATTTTCTCCACTCAAGTTTTGCGACTTTGGATCACTTGAACCATCTGCTGCCAAATTTGGCTCAGACAATCCTGCTGATGGTGAGGACAAATCATTGCGCACAACTTTCGGTCCAGTATCTCTGTGAGCGCGACCGCCTTTTGGTGTGTTGCTTCTAGTCAGCATCCTGCTCGTAAAAAACAACTGGCGTCATGGTATGTAAAAGCCATATAAGAAAATAACAGTTTTAACAGGACTTTTGAAATACAAGCTGTTCACTGTGATAGATCAGCACTAATATTGAAAAAAAATTATGGAACTTGTTTTTTCTTACATCTATCCTTCTACAAAAACATTTTTTTTTTAGTGATTTGATTAATATTTTTTTTTCTTTTATAATAATTAAGTAAATAAACTTTACTTAAAATAAACCTTTTTTATCCTTTAATAACAAAATAACTTATTTAGAGAAGAATTAGAGAACAACTAACAGAAGAACTAGAGAACTTACTTAGAGAAGAACTAGAGAACTTACTTAGAGAAGAACTAGAGAACTTACTTGGAGAAGAACTAGATAACTTACTTAGAGAAGAACTAGAGAACTTACTTAGAGAAGAACTAGAGAACTTACTTAGAGAAGAACTAGAGAACTTACTTAGAGAAGAACTAGAGAACTTACTTAGAGAAGAACTAGAGAACTTACTTAGAGAAGAACTAGAGAACTTACTTAGAGAAGAACTAGAGAACTTACTTAGAGAAGAACTAGAGAACTTACTTAGAGAAGAACTGTGGGTCTGGCAAAGTTTGCTTCTTTCTCTGCATGTCCAGTGCCAGCATGGGGTCACTCCTCTCCTTCCTCATGCTGCCAGGGCCAGAATGTCTGGAGCCACCCTGACCCTGGTCTGAGAAGGATGCGCGGATGCTGTCTGTGGAATCATCACTAGCATCCCCAGTAGGGGACTGAGAGATCTTGGACAAGGAGAGGCAATCCGAGCTATCCGAGTGATGACGCACCTTCTTGTCTGACTTCAGATCTTCACTGCTGGCTCCTTGAGTTTTTGAAGAACTTCCTTCAAGATGAAACACAACTGGTTTGACTGAACTGTGGTCAATGACTGGAGACTTGTCCCTGGGCTTCTGAGTGACTTGTGTGTTTCCTGGCTGTGGGGACGGACTCTCTGAGTGCTTTGTAAAAGGAGAACGGACTCTTTCTGAGGACAACTTGCTTGGTTTAAACCCAGGTATCTGTGTTGAATTTTCTGGAATTGCAAAATTTGGTTGCTGTGCTGGGAGACTGGATGGGGATTTGCCAGATAAATCATTTGTTCCTACAGGCGGAGGTTCCAGTGATTTCACGGTCCGTTGAGTAAATTGGGTCAGGTCACTGCTTAGTGCAGGAACAGGGGTCATGACATTGATCAAAGTACTGGGTTTAGATGCTGGAGTTTTACCTGGGAATGTGTTCGATGGTTGTCTGTCATCAGGCTGTGGAGCTGCTGGTTCCTCTGCCATCAGATCATCATCATCAACACTCTCACCACTGCTTACAAGTTCCTCTAAAAATGACCGCTTGTATAATGGTGGATGCTGGGAAATTTTAGGAGATAAAATGTCTGGCTGTGGAGTTTTTGTGGTTGCAGTGGATGGAGATGAAGCTGATGTGGCATGGTGAGAGGCCTCGACTTCAGGATCTGTTGACTTGTACAGAACTGGCTTCACTTGCGGCGGCCTTTTGTTGGACGCTGGTGCAGCCGGTTTTTCATCTTCTGCTGCAGCTGCTGCATTGTCACCTGAATCACGGTAGGCGTGGCCTCGTGGTACAGTGGATGTTGGGGAACCTTTTTGTGGCAGACCCGAGCGATTAAGGTCATTTAAATCTTCAACAATGTTGAAGTCTGAAGTTGGAAAGTCAAACTCTGTGTCAGTTGATCTGGCAACAGGAAGTTGTCTGCCAGGTTTTTGATGTGTTGGGTGAGTCACATTACAGGAGTCTGTGTCAGTTTGGTCAGATTCGCTCGGAGAGGCATCAGGCGGAGGGGCTGATGATCCTTGGGATGCAGCAGTTGCATGAATTGTAAACCTTGTTGAAGTCCCAGGGGGTATATGAGGAGATGCTGAGCCAGCATTAGTCTCTGACCTTGACTTTGCTCCTTGGATAGGAGACTCTCTGTGTTTTTCCTTAGCGCGTGACTTTTTGGGCAAGTTATGGCCCCTGATTGGAGTCTCAGTTGGATCAAAGACAACATCACTGACTACATTTAACCTGTCTCTCCGAGAGTGAGACGCGGGTCTCTGTGGGGTGGAGCTAGAGAGGATGTTTGAAGGATGAAAGGCCGTGGGAGCTGGGGGTGGTATGTTCATCAGCAGGTTCATGGTGTGTCCCACAGAGCTACTCCTGGTGTTCTCTCTGCGGAGTTCTTTCACCCTAGGCAATAAAAACAACTCACTAGATATTCAATGAATACAATGTAACTATAGTGATAAATGGAAACTTATAAAACTGTGGAATAATGGACACATGAGATAGTAGACTATGTTGTATGTCACTATGGTGTTAATAATTGTATGTAATATTGATGACAGACAACATTTACCTGTCAGCATATCGTAATGTGTTGATTGTATTTTCACACGCGGACTGAGAAGGTGAGATGTTTGCAATCATGCATGTTCGAGAGTTGCCCACAAATGAATCCTTTAATATATGCGTAAGCTTGCTCTGACGAAAAGGTGTATGTCGACTTTCCTGGTCTATGGACCTGATGCATTCCTTCAACTGATGAAAATCATTGAACAATCATATACCAATCATTTATTTTTTTAAATTAGTTTTTGCCGACTAGTCCTACAGTGATGAGATGATTTTCTTTATGAACTGACTAGAGAAAATATTTTCAGATGAAAATATTTTCAGAAGTTTGGGTATAACAAAAACAATTTTTTACTGTTTTGTAAATTATAGCTAAATCATGAGTTTTTTGTATGGTTTTAGCCTGTGGAATAAATATATTTGTAATGGGCTTCATAATTTCATAAAATTTGAAATATAATAATAAGTTATCGCTACAGATTTGAAAAGAAATGCAAAAGATGAATTACTTGCCCTGTCATGTAATTTTTCAAGAACCTAAAAAATCAGTTTTAGTTTGTGTTTTTTTTTTTGTCATCATTTATTTTACTGCTGTGATGAAATATTAAAATTGAACACCTTTCAGCTAATTTCGGTATAACAATGATACTGGCTTGTAAGCCAAACAAAATATACAGTCAGTAGTTGATTTTGTTTAACAAACCAAAAGTACTTACGGCCAGTAGACTTTGGTTTATCTCTGCTCCCTCCATCCTTGTCTGCTTGTCTGTATCAGTAACATCTGAAGCTCTTTCACTGCCGGCCAAGTCAATGAATGAAATTCTGTAAGTAATAAAACTAAATTTTTTAAAGAGGTTAAATCAGAACTATAAAATTATTTATTCAATAGAAATTGTTTTATTATTTTAAATATGTATTTTTAGCACAAAAAAATATTCTTAAAATCTTCAAAATGTGCATTTATAGGATAACTGATCATTAATCAATAGTTAGCATATATATTGTGTTTAGCAGTAAGGGGTCATCCAGTTATGACATCCACAGGGGGGGGGGTGACTGGAAAAAAATTACTTTTGAGGACGCGTATGGACTTTTATAAGGGAAATAAGTGGATTTTTGTGGAAGGGGGTCCAAAATCAAAAGAATTTGTGGACGTCATAAATGGATGAACCCTAAGTCAGATGAGTTAAAAAAAAAAAGGCTCAGGGGACACAATCAAGTAATACATTTATACCTGAGTTATATCCCTTATTTGGTAGAGTTCTAATACAAAGGTTTATTAGAGGTTAACTATAGTGAGTTTTACCAATTTTGTGCAAAGAATATCATTTGGTAAAAAAAAAGGTTTCATCAAAATTTCTCCAACTAAAGTAGCTTAGTATTATGAAACCTCTAATCTCTAGGATTTACTTATAGGCTGACAAGAATATCTGTTGACAGAAAATCTGTTGATTAATTGGATGAACTATGTATATTGTGGGCTTCACTAGGGCTCCCATAAAACCTCCTCCCCCCACCCGCCTTACTTTCCCAGCTTGTTGTCTTGACTGTCTCGTATATCCAACTGTAAAATGGCATGAGACCTGGACGAGTCTGGGTTCACACCTGTGGCTCCTTTACTTCTGACTGAGTTGCCATACTCTAAAGTCTGTTGATTATTGAAAGATGATTGGTTAGTTTTATTTTCTCATAAATGGATACATTACATATAGTAGTGAAGATGGAATTATTTCAATGTTTGTTGTACTCATACAAGGTCCCCTGCAAAATTAAATTACGGAATGATGCTTAATTATTTAGAATAGTAACCCCACACAGCTAAAGTAAAGCAAGATAACTGACACTTTCCCAGCTAGTAAACTGAAACTTTCCAGCTAGAAAATGTATATGAGATGGTAAAAAAATGTTAAAGAGAACCTGAACAAGAGAATCAACACTCGTTGCCTCGGTCTCTGTCAGACCAGCAATACAAACTTGATGACTCCCATCTTCCCTTGCATGCAGCCTTCAGTAAAGAAAAGTAGGTTTTACATGCTAAGTTCATGATGTGTGAAATGTTTTTAATTAACACTAGATAATAGTTAATAATATCACAAAATATAAACTAACATCTAAATGGGGTTAATATCAAAACAAGAAAGTTAATCTGTTACCTGTTTCTACGGTTAAGTAAATCAAACAGCTGACCACAGTATATTTCAAAAAAGCTGACCCACACATGGAGGTTTCTTCCATACTTGCCAGATTGAATGATAGAAAATATATCTTGGCCTGCTAATAAATAAAGTCCTGGCACAGAAGTGCTTCCAAGCATAGTGTGTGTTTTCCCAGCACCTGTTTGCCCATAAGCAAAACATGTTGCAGTCCCTCTGAAAAACAAATTACAGACTTTAAATCTGAGAGTTGAGAATCTACTTTCTTATATGGTAATATCTTCAAACATAAAATAATAAACTTGTTCTTAAACAAAAGCAGAAATAAGAACAATCTATTAACAAGTTGTAAAACAAAATAAAAAAAGATCTCTACCCAACAAACATCAAGATTTTTAAAGTTTATTTTAATGACATAATGAGGTAATTAAAACCTCCAAACAACATGTCAGAAATATGCAAAATGGCAGACGACATTTTGCTGTTGAAATGTAAAATGCATTTTTCACAAAAGCAAAAGATTGCTAATTCATGATAGGTAGTACTTTATTTTTAAAAATCTGAAAATTAATCATACTAAATGGATTTATTTGCGATGTGCTTTATTTTTATACTTACCCATTAAAAACACAGCTAATTAAAGGTCTAGCAGCTCTGATATACACATCTTCATTAGAGCAATTTTCATCAAATACTTCATCAAATAAGAATTCATGCTGAAATTAAGGACAACAAAAGGCAAATATAAATACATGTTTATTAGTCGTAGCAAAATTTGCTAGGTAGGAATACCAATTTTAAAAAGTCATTGGATCAATGAGAGGAGGGACATAAAATGATTAGTTAGGCTGAATTTTGAAAATATACAAGAACTAAATGCATCTTAATTAAAGAAAATGCAGGCAACAAACAAAACAGGTATTAGATGACAAGAGACAAAAACAAAACATTTCCTGCAAACAACAGACAAATGAGTACCTGTAATGTAAAGGCTGTCAAATCTACTGCAAGCTTTGGTTCATTGATAACAAGCATATTTGTGCTTTCTACAGTAACAATATCTTCTTCCTTGCCTTTTTGTTCTTTTTTTGTCAGAGGCCTTTTCCTCACACAAACTTTAATTTTCTCTTCCCCAACAAATCTATTAGCTCCAAGTTTGGGTGTTTTACTTTTGGTCGGTGCGCTGACTTTATGTACACCATAATTATAACTTTTCATTTTAGAGTGTTTAATACGTTCAACTGCTGGGCCTTTAGAAATAGAGTTACGCACACCAGAAGGATTAGACAAAATTCTATTGATAGTCTGCTCATCCTCAACTTGATTGTCTGATTCTTCAGAACTGCTGCTCTCAGTACTGCAGCGTAGCATATCCATGTAGGATGAAACAGAGAAATTGGGAACTCTGTCCTGAACAATAACGTCTCTAGAAGGTTCTAAACGCTGGGGTGTCTGTGGGCTTTGGAAGGCTGTAGACCTAGTGGCTTGTCGACTTCTCATATTCCTAGTTTGACTAGTTTCATCTGAAGTATTAATATTAGACTGTTGTCTATGTCGAAATCCCATATTTCTCTGCTGAAATATTGGGCTACCAGAATTGTGAACAGATTTTATAATATTGACCAGCTCAACCAATCTTCTTTTGTCTTCACTAGCTGTGATGCCTAAAGCGAAAAATTCTGGCATTCCCAAATTAATAAGAGCCTCCGACTGAGTAATTCCATTCGCTCGAAATGCTGGATAGAACTGCTCCAGTCGTGCTTCCCTTAGAAAATCCAAAAGGGTGCTCATTTTACACAGCTAGAAATAAAAATGTTCTTCTTGAGATTTAAAAATAAATCATGGAAAAAAATGTGATGGTTGTTTATATATTATATACAAAATAACATAAGTTAGGTAATAAATATCAAAATGCTTTGAGAGATCATCATCTTTTCCCTCTTGTGCTCAAGACATATTTTAGTTATAGTGTTAACTTTCCCAAAACATTTTGAATAATATTGTCCACTGAATAGCATGTAATGAACTTAATGGACAGTTTAGTTTTAACTCACTTGACTCAAAGCAATCGTATGAATGCTGTCTACAAAATATCTTGACAATGAGCTGATTTTGAAATATTTGTCAGTTATTGAATGAAAAGTAGATCTAGTTTTTTTTAGATCTTTTGGTAATTGGTTAGCAACATTAAGATATTCTCATCATTTTTGCAATTTTAGGTTATCATTAAATTGAAGTGTACCATCACCGATCAATAATCTATTTTTTTTATAAACCAGGAAACAAAGACAAACTAAAAAAAAAAATTCTGGAGTATTAAATTAAAGTAAACTCTATCAGTAGTACCACAATACTCTAGAGCAGGGGTCTCCAAACTTTTCAGCCCGAGGGCCGCAGTAACTATCAAATTTCAGTCCGGGGGCCAGTTTCTTACAGGCATATCTTTGATTTTTCTGGGCAAAGTTCCTCAGCCATCACCAACAAACGTTTTTTCCGTGGATAAAAAGATCTCTGCGGGCCGGATGAAAGGACCTCGCGGGCCGCATCCGGCCCGCGGGCCGTAGTTTGGAGACCCCTGCTCTAGAGTAAAAGACTACGAGCTATAATTTAATAACACTATTATCAAATAGAATGCAAATAATATGAAGTGGTCTTTGTTAGACTTAGGGTAGTACTAACACAAAAGTTAACTGTAGAGTGGGGAAAATAGGTTAAAGTAATATAAAAGTAGAGTGGGGAAAATAGGTTAAAGTAATATAAAAGAACTCATCAACAATAGGAAAACAAAGAAGAAATTTCAGAAAATCTATCAAATGAGAATGAATATGGTCTGAAGACATTAAAATGATTAGGATGAGATTAGGTCTATAACTACAGCATGGTTCCTATTCAATATTCATTGATTCAAATCTAAATATTAAATAATGTGTACTCGTCTATAGTCTATTATTAGTCTATAAGTTTATTTTTTGTTAAACAATTCAACTTCTGACTCTATGTTTTTAGAATTTAACTATAGGACTTTAGGGCCTAACTAGACTTTTACTATACTTGACTAGACTATGACTAGACTTAATCACTAACTACTAGTAATAGTAACACACTATCACTAGGCAGAATACACACACAGTTTTTTTTTTTGCAGTTTATCTTCTACTAGAAGTTCTAGATTTAGAATCTAAATATATTTGTTGTGTCTAGTCCAAACGTATGTATGAGTAGGGACTACGATATCCGTCAAATTGCGGCCCGGAAACTGCGCGACCGCCGCCATACTAAACTTGATTCTGGTTTCCGTCCGCCAAAACATAGCTCACTATATAAAGCCAGATTCTCATTTCAAAATCCTTCAATTCATTCCATTCGTCATAAATTCTGATGAAGGAATAATTAAGTTTTCTATTGAGCAAGCTTTTTCTCGTCGCCATCGACGTATCTTTGAGTAATCTACAGTTCTTGGACAGGTATGTAGAAATATTTAATTTATTTAATAACTAAACTTGATAGTCGTTTTTTTTTTAAAGGTACACCTAGATTTATCATTTAAGTTTATTCTGAAGTCTTGTTTTTTAAATTTGAACCTTCGCTTGAATTAGATAATGCCTCGCGAAGTGCCGATGGTGTTAAAATTTCAGCCGACACTCGGCAATGTCGGTAGTTACCTATTATCGATAATGGCCGACTCAGCTATGAATAAGAGATACTTATGATGTACCTTTGAAATCTTAACCAATCTTAACATATTTAAAGCAACTGCATCTGATATTTATATTTTAAGATTATTTAATCATTATATTTTATTAAAAAGACATTATTTTATTTCTTACTTTGTCATTTTAGAAAATGTACTAAGTCTAAGCAATAGTAATAGATAATTGGGCTAGCACTGAAATAGAATATCGTTTTCTTAATTAAAACACTAGAGCCAAAGAAAATAATCTTGTTTGTAGATGTTGAAAATATTATATGAATTAAAGCTTTTTATTTTCTTTCACCAGTAATGCAAATGGAGAGGCCTTCCAAAACCCTTCATGATTTGGAACTTCTTGTTAATTCACACAAGAACAACAAGTTTACTAATGGATTTGTGTACCACATTTTTGTGAATAACAAAAAAAATGCAAAGAAGACAGCAACATATCTTCTGGAATTAGGTGGTCATCCAGATTGTAAAGCTTCATCTTTACAACTTGTTTTAAGTCGTTTGAATGCCAGAGTTACTTCACTGAAGACCAACATTACTAGGAACTGGGCAAATTTTGAATGCTTGTTGAATGCTGATTTCCTCTTCCCTGTCTCAGTTGTAAAGCAGCCACTTAGCACTGTACAGCCAAAGATGCCACCTCCCATATCACCTTTAAAAACGAAGACAAGTAAGGAATGTTTTGCTTGCGACAAAAAGCAGCAGTGCAACAGAGAATTGTTTAAGGAGAACCTGAAGTTAAAACTGTCCTATAGTGCTGAAAAGAAAGAGAAGTTCCAGATAAAAAAAACCTATCAAGTAAATCGGGTTAAGCAGCAGCTGGAAAGAAAAGGACTGCGAATTGGCAAATTTCAGTCAAAAGTAAAGACACTGCAGGACAAAATTGCTTCTTTGTCCAACTCTCTAAAAAGAGCACATCTTAAGTGCAGCATACTTTCAAAACAAAAGAAAAAGTGCCACAGCCAGCTGAATGCTCTACAGTTGAAAGTAACTGACCTGGAAAAGAAGTTAATTTCTAAAGATGCTGCCTTGCTACATGACATACCACATGTTGAAAATTATGATGCTCAAACTATTGTCACCAAAGTCAATAAAAAGCAGTTCAATTCTTCAATCAGAATGGTAATTTACCGCTGCCTTGAACTAAATGTGCCTGTTGAGGCGATATCAAAGGTAATTGCTTTCTGCACTGATCTCTGCAATGCACAAGTTGACCTGCCATCAGTGTCTACAATAGCACAGATGTGCCGTGAAATGGCAGTTTTGGCTGAGCTTCAAGTTTCGGAGGCCATCATTGATGCTGATGTTGTAACTATAGCGTTTGATGCAACAACTATATCCGGTAAACACATAAATGAAGTTCATTTTGGAACGCCTGAAAATGTTTTCACCGCAAACATTACGGAACTGGCTGGAGGCAGAGCTGAGGACTATGCTGGTCATGTACTTAACACCATTGAGGACTTGGCAACAACGTACTCTTCCTTTTGTGAAGTTGATAAGGAGGAGACAAAACTTCAAATGTGTGGAAAGGTTTCATCCACGTTGACAGATAGGGCCTCAGCCAACCACGCTGCAGTACTACTGCTGAATGAAAAACTTCAGACAAACTTACTTGAACTGAATTGTCACTTACACCCTCTTGATGGCATAGCTAATGAAGTAAGGAAGACTTTTCAAAAATTTAATTCCCTTATTCCCAGTGACACATTTGGTTCAGACTGTCGAGCTGCTAACTTGCTGTATGGAATATCTAAGCTGAGGTAAGTTGTTTTCCATCGCTGTTGTTGTTTGATTTTTATTTTGCATTGGTATGGCTTTTCAATAGCTCTTGTCTTTCCTATTAGGTACAAAGCAAAGGGAGATCCTACAGGATTCAAGGCTTTTCTCAGGCAGCATTCCTTGGCATGTGGTATTTTCCCTAGATATGTTGGTAATAGGTTGCACGTGATGTTCTGCCTGGCTGGTATTGTATACAGACACAGGCATCTTCTGGTGCTATATTTAGAAAAATATTGCAGCAACATATCATTAAGAGCTGCACTATTAAAGGACTTAAAAAATGACATTATTATTTCCCAGTTGCAGGCACTTGGACTTTGGGGGAAATACCTAACCGGGGCTTGGATGTCTGTCTTCTATGCCAAAGAATCAAAACGGAATCATTTTGACATGGTAATACTTTTGAGTTTTTAAAAATAAATACTGGTGACTTCTTGTAATGAGTTATACTTTGTTCAAATGTATATTTTTTCTTTCAGGTTGAATATCAAAAGGTGGCGATGAAATTCATTGCTAGAGTAATTGCTGAGCCAGAATACCTTTTGATAGGATGTGAGGATGCCTTTGGACGCCCCTTAATTGCGGATGAAACTTTGTCATCTCTGCTGATTGTAGATGACACCAACCTCAAGGCCTTTAGTACTGCCACTAAAGCCATGGCCACAGCCACCCAAACTGTCCTCAGCCGTCAGCTTTCCCGCTACCTGGAGGGTGATTTAGCTGCACCTACTGAGGCCATGTTAGCTGCAGCAGCCAGTGCCCCCGTACACAACATCTGGGCTGAGAGGGCCCTTGGTGTTGTTGACTCATTGTCGCGCAGGGCCCCGAATTCGGAGATAACTTTTTTAGATGCAAAAACTAAAGTAAAGCTGAACAAATCGTTGGACTGGCTGTCATCCAAGCCTGCAGCAGTTCAACAACAAATAATCCAATTTTGCATTAAGAGGGGTGCAGTTTGTAGAAAGTTAGGAAAGGATAGGAGGATAGAGAAAGAAAGGGAGCTGCAGCGACGGCTGATGGAAAAAAGCCAGAAAAGAGACATGGGAAACCGAAACAAAATTGCTAAAACTATTAAACAGCTATTAATCGAGAAGGAGCTTTTCACTGTTATTAATGACCCTGTATTTGCCAATGTTAGTAGTTTTCAAAGAAAAAAATTGTCAATTTTTTTGTCAGATAGGGTAGAGGGGGCGAGGATTGAGCATAAGTGGAATGTGAATGGGGAGGATGTTATTTTTAGTGGTAGGTTTATTTTAAAGTTAAAGAAAAAATCAGCTGTAGATTCATTTAGAGTAGCTTATTGGAAAGAAAATGAAACAGAGGATGATGCTGAAGATGTGTGCGTCTCGTTTGACAGTATTTTAGCTGATGTTGTTTTAGGTGACTTGTTATTTTGCTAGTGTTGTAATTATGTAATTATTATATTATTTATATTAAATTTAATTTTTATCAACAGTGTTGACCTGTCTGGTATTTTATTTACACCAATTCCATTTAACTGGTATTTTATTTGTGTAATCTGTATTTTTTTGTTATAAAAGAACCTTTGCTCTGGGGTAGGGGATTTAGATTAAGTTGTATATTAAGCTCCAAGGTGTGAGGTTCCATACTATTACAACTAGCAGATGTTAGAATTTGGACATGATAATAATATAATATTTAGAACCACGAAATACTTTAAAAAAAAAAAAAAATTTTTTTAGAATTAGGGGGGTGGTATCCCCTCTAGACACATATTTCATCACACCCTTTACATTTTTAAAAAATGTTAGGTTTAAGTACTTCAAAACACATTTATCTTGAAACTCTGAAAATTTGAATACAAAATTCCATGTAATAAAGATTTGGCATTGATTTATACACATTACACACAAAATTTGCCCGCGAAAATTACCATTAAATCCTATAGTAACTTTTTATTCAGTAAAAAAATCATAACTTTTGAATGGAATGTCCTATTTTGAAAAAGTAAACTGTTTTGTCTTAATTGTATGTAGTTCTATGTGATGATATGTTTTTTTACTTAAATAAATCATTTTGAAATTTATCTCAAAGTCCCTAGTATGAGTCTAGTCTAGTTGACTAGCTCTCTGGCTGAAAATGTAAACTACAGTTACAGAGTAGTACGTGTACACAACACTCAACTACACTGTTACCTGTACAGTATACAGTATACAGTACTGTACAGTGTCTGTACAGTCACAGTGTGTGTAAACAATCAAAGTAGTAATACGAGTAGGCCATAGATCTATATATTATAATGTAGTTTTATAATATAGAAGCTTAATTCTACAAAGTACAAACCGGTTAAATGGTGATAACCTATATAAATTAGGTCTTCATCGTGGTTAGATATGTTAGATTAAAAATCCAAAACAAGTTTGAACACGCAACACATCCATTTTAATTTTTATTGATTGGGTAAAATCCCAATAGATTGTCGTAAATTGTAATAATGAAATATTCTTCGTGGTATTTTCGATTGTAAATGCTATTGTGTACATAAAGAGTCTTCAAATCAAATAAAGAGCTTTGTTTTAAAAACGGGAATTAAAACATGTGAAATGAGAACCATTTTTTTTTGTTTACATTGAGCGCCATTTTGAACTTCCCGCTGCCATGGAAGCCAAAGATTACAAATGTACTAAAAAAGCTAAAATTGTTATTTGAGAACACGAGCGCACAACATCATAACCAGAAGACGATAAATTAACAAATGTTTCGAAAAATCAGTTGGAAATGTTTCCTAGAAAATTAAAAACATAAATGTAGATCTAGAGCCTAGATCTAGATCTAGATCTAGATATAGATCTAGATCTATGTTTGCAGTTTTGTATCTTTAAAAAAAAAAATTACCTAAAAGTTTTTTTTTCTTTTTTGATACAAAAATTTTTCGCTAAAAAGGCTTAAGGTCGAGCCGTCCATAAATTGTAAAGTATTACATCAATTTTTTGGACATCTTTTTCACTTTCCCCTTCACATCATCACACAATTGTAATTACGTTGGGTGAGGGGATCAAACTTTCGATTTGCACCTCTTAAAAGACTATTTAACACTCGAATTAATCACTTAATTAAGTGGAATTGTCATTTTTCTCAATATATTTTGCTATTTTTTGCCTTGGTGTCACCCCCTAAATGGTGTCACCCGGTGCGGTCCGCACCGCCCCCCCCCCCCCCCCCCCCCATTTCGCTTCGCCACTGACCCCTCTCAGTATACTCAATACACTCCCTAACAAAAATACTACAGTAAAATAAACCGGGAGTGATCTCCCCTAAACTTTCTCGAATATTCTTATATAAAATAACAGGGGATGGGAACTCCGGCTATAGACATGATTTTTAATCCATTTTAAATACTTAAAGTTTTAAAAATAGAATAAAATCTCGTAGACAAATTAATTGCACACCAAGTGAACGCCCAATAAAAAAGCGCATAATAGTGCGCAATATTATTAGTACTTTTAAAATTTACATTAGTTTTTTGAGAAATCGGAAGTAGCGTAAATTACTACTTCCAGTCAACGGAAATTACTCAAAATTTAACAGAAGGTAGAGGATTAGATCTTTTACTTACATGTGAAATTTCATTTATCTATCTGAAATAGTACTCAAGTTATATGCTTTTAAAAAATTCAAAGTAGGAAAAGTACCACTTCCGGTTATCGGAAATCGCTCAAAAGTTGATACGGATCTACGATTTTGATAAAATACTTATATATGAAATTTCATCAACCTAGCTGTAACGGTACTCAAGTTATCGTGTTTACACACGGACAGACACACACACAGACAGACACACACACACACAGACATACGGACAAGATTGCAAAATTATGTTTTTCCGTATCAGTGAGGTGTAAAACGTCGAGATCTGTAAAAATCTCGATTTTTTTTTTGCACGATTACAATACTTTCTCTATACTACGTATATACGAGAAAGTAAATAGAAAAATCAAAATTTTGTTTTCCAAAAAAAAAAAAAATACAAAATATGTGTTACGTCACAACTTCGCCAGGGAAGCTGTCGGGTTAATGATCTGCTTGTGAGAAGTTCGCGGGGGTGGGGGGGGGGGGGGGGGGGGGCAGCTTTGTAAAAAATAAAATCTACGTTAGAAACGACTATTACAGAAAACTTTAATTTGGTCTGGAAGAAGGATCTCCGTTATAAAGAAGGTTGCGCTTATTAGTAAAAAAAAAATGTATCGTTTCGCATTATTTGTGTTGTTTGTGTCCATCACATTTTTATTTAAAGCTTCTTTATTATCGTTTATCGCAAAAATGTTTGGCTAAAAAAGGAGCAATTCATTTTCTAAATGTACTGTATGCTATGCTAACCATCTTGCTATGTAGGCTACGACTAAATATAAATTTCTGATTATATTTTAATATGGAATACACTCACCTGATATCAACTGCAATAATAAAGATCCCATGGCGGCTGTTAAAGACCAATAAAAGAAGGCCTAAAACAGGGGTTCATTCAGAAATGGGAGGAGTAGTGGTACTGCCTCCTGCTTCAATTATATAGACGACATAAAGTCATAAACTATATATTTTTACTATTTGGGATGGGGGGGGGCGCTTGTTCAATGTCTCCACCCACCCCCACCCCACCCTCTCACGGAGAAGTTCAGGTTGTTAAATAAGAAAAAAATGATGGGCAAAACATAGCCATAGTAATCAGTATCCAACATCACATGACAGGTCATCACCCTCACAGCATCACTCGACAGGTCCTCACAGCATCACATGACAGGTCCTCACAGCATCACTCGACAGGTCCTCACAGCATCACTCGACAGGTCCTCACAGCATCACACGACAGGTCCTCACAGCATCACACGACAGGTCCTCACAGCATCACACGACAGGTCCTCACAGCATCACACGACAGGTGCTCACCCTCACGGCATCACACGACAGGTCCTCACCCTCACAGCATCACACGACAGGTCCTCACAGCATCACACGACAGGTCCTCACCCTCACAGCATCACACGACAGGTCCTCACCCTCACAGCATCACACGACAGGTCCTCACCCTCACAGCATCATGCGACAGGTCCTCACATCATCACGCGACAGGTCCTCAGGTCCTCACAGCATCACACGACAGGTCCTCACGGCATCACACGACAGGTCCTCACCCTCACAGCATCACGCGACAGGTCCTCACCATCACAGTATCACACGACAGGTCCTCACGGCATCACACGACAGGTCCTCACAGCATCACACGACAGGTCCTCACCCTCACAGCATCACACGACAGGTCCTCACCCTCACAGCATCACACGACAGGTCCTCACGGCATCACACGACAGGTCCTCACCCTCACAGCATCACACGACAGGTCCTCACAGCATCACACGACAGGTCCTCACCCTCACAGCATCACACGACAGGTCCTCACCCTCACAGCATCACACGACAGGTCCTCACGGCATCACACGACAGGTCCTCACCCTCACAGCATCACACGACAGGTCCTCACAGCATCACACGACAGGTCCTCACCCTCACAGCATCACACGACAGGTCCTCACCCTCACAGCATCACACGACAGGTCCTCACCCTCACAGCATCACACGACAGGTCCTCACCCTCACAGCATCACACGACAGGTCCTCACCCTCACAGCATCACACGACAGGTCCTCACCCTCACAGCATCACACGACAGGTCCTCACCCTCACAGCATCACACGACAGGTCCTCACCCTCACAGCAACACACGACAGGTCCTCACCCTCACAGCATCACACGACAGGTCCTCACCCTCACAGCATCACACGACAGGTCCTCACCCTCACAGCAACACACGACAGGTCCTCACCCTCACAGCAACACACGACAGGTCCTCACATCATCACATGACAGGTCCTCACACTCAAGGTTTTCATACAGCACGCCCATGGATAGCTGGGTTGTAGTGTAGGCTAACCGGCGCCCCGATAAATATTATCCAAGCACAGGCATTGTTTACAATAAAAATAACTCAGTTTTAGAAAACAAGGAAATCAATTGAAAAATTGAGTAACTAAATATTCTAACAGAGTAGCGCGTATTTATTGTTTATATTTATTATTATAGCGTTCAGAACGGAGTGTTGCAGACTAATACTTTTATGAGTTAAAAAAAATATTAGTATTTGTGCGTAGAGCTGAAGAGCCGCACCTCGACATCAAAAGAGCCGCAGGTTGCCGACCCCTGGTCTATTCGTATTTCTATTCGTATCATTTACTGCCCCATCACTACACTAGATATGTGGAGCGATCTACATTCGAAATAGTCTATTCGTATCTTATTGATATTGGGAGTTCTTTTTTGTTTTTAACTCTCATCATCTGTTTTCATCATTAAGCCAGGGGGAGGGGGAGGGAGAAAGAGAGGGAGAGAGAGAGGGAGATTTGGCCTATCTTGGATTATGAATGATGATATCGATCTGAGAGGAGGCTGATGTTATCTGCCAAATCGAAGTCCCCAAACTGCTTGGTGAGGGTCTTATGAATTCCAGCAGTTTTATTCGTGACCGTTCTTCTCATAATCTAATTGATAATTACCAAAAAGATAATTGGCAATAGCATTCAGGTCTACCCCCCCCCCCACACACACACCGAAGAGATGCCTGGAAGAAACTCTGATCCAATCCAGCGGGGTTCACAAAGGTCGAGAAAAATTGATCTTCCATCGCAACTTGGGTGCATTTGCCTGATCCATATTGGATTGAGATATTCAAGGCAGACATTCTGGTTTTTTGCTTTTGTCGTTTTAAAGACTGGTCAGCGCGCTGGCTTCAACGTTTCACAGAAGAAGGAAAATTTTTCTTAAGATCTTTTTGGATTAATTTGCTATTGTTTTCTTTGCGCGTTAGTCTAGTTGTTTGTAGGGCTATGACCTTCCGCCTGGTCGACTCATAATAATGTTTATCTAGGAAGCGTTAATTTATTTTACTGTGACTAAAGAAAACTGCTTCTTTTCTTATTTATATTTGTAGTGCCATTGATCAGAAGCGTAACGAGGGGGGGGGGGGGCGGGGGGGACATATGTCCCCGGGCGCCGACCTTAGGGGCGCGAAAATGGGTTGGAAAAATAAATTGAAAGGTTGAACTTGAAGGGGAAATCGAAAGTTTGAGGAGGGGGGGGGGTGCAAATCGAAATCTCGAGGGGGGGGGGGGGTTGCAAATCGAAAGTTTGAGGGGGGGGGTGCAAATCGAAATCTCGAGGGGGGGGGGGGTGCAAATCGAAAAGTTTGTCCCCGGGTCGCCTCTGCCATTGATTGCATTGAAAGCATATTGTGAAAGATAAATTCGTGTTCCACATAATGGCTACTCTCAAAAATTAAAACAGTGGAAAAATAGAACATTATTTTCATAACAATAATTAATAATGTTTTAAATGTAGTCGGTTTAATTTACACTGAGTCGGTAATGTTTGTTTTAAATTTAATTTCTTATATTAAAATGTGTTCATTATGAAGCCCACTCTGGCAATACGTGTAAGTCATAGCTTTGTGGAAAAAGCGCAATTCAAGCGCATTAGTTTTATGATAAGGAAACAGGGTGTAAACATTGACAAATATTAGATCTAATAAAAGATAAAAAGTGGATATTATAGATCTAGATCTATCTGATATCTGGATCTAGAGACTAGTGTGACTGACAAGATTTTAATAGAAAATGGCAACTTCTAATTTAGTGGCTGCTGGTCTGCTGATTTTTAGACGATTACATAATAAACTTGAATATCTTTTGCTTCAAACTTCATATGGAGAAAATCATTGGACACCCCCAAAAGGTAGACCTAGAAATCTAGTCTCGAAGCTCGTAACAAAAAGTTAGGTTGGCCAAATAATGCCAAATTTATATTAGGCCTACTACTACTATACTACTAATTATTAATTATTGTACTAATCTAGATCTAGTCTAAATGAAAGAAAAAATCAAAAGTGAATACCCAATCGGTCTACAAACAAACCTGAAAAAATAACAGATCCAAGTGAAAATCATATAAAAAATAAAAATAGCGACACTGACACATAATCATAATGGATAGGCCAATATGATGATGATCCAAATAATTGTACAATTTTTAAAAAATCAGTTGAGCCTTCACTACACCAGATCTTAATTATATAATTAACACCTAACTGAACTTCATCACCATTTTAAGTTTAGAAATAGAAAAATATATGCTATGTCACATTCCAAAAATTATTCAATAAAAATTGTGTGTATATAATTTAATATAATGTATATATAGGGCCTATATATATATATATATATATATATATATATATATATATATATATATATAGTTATCACTGCGTTTCTCTTAGTCTTATCTTATTATAGTTAGTATTAAGTATATACACTGCAATCAATATATTTTTAACCATTAATTTTAATGTATGATTTTATATTTTTATTTTAAGGACACGTAGACCCTGGAGAAACAGAGTTTGAAACAGCAATTCGTGAGACAGAGGAAGAATCTGGATTTAAAAAAGAACAATTAAAAATATTAACAGAATTTGAGAGAAATTTAGTTTATAATGTAAATGGTAAACCTAAGCGTGTAGTATACTGGCTATCAGAATTGTGCAATCCAAACGATCCAGTTAGATTATCGAGTGAACATCAAGACTTTAAATGGCTGCATTTGGATGAAGCTTGCACCCTTGTAAAGTATCCAGATATGGCTGCTTTGCTAAAGGAGGCAAATAAATTTCTTTTAGAACTATACAAATCTTAGCATTTTAGTTATGATTAACTTTATTCCATTCGTTTGTGTAATTTACAGTTTACAAATTTTATTACTAAATTTATAATTTTTTGTAAAAAAAAAATAATGATGATCTGGAGTAGTTTCCCTTGTCTTATACAAATATGATTTTAAAAATTAAATTTTGGCGTGTTTGAATGAATTATTGTCTTACATGGTTGATGTGACTAAACTATACTGTACTGGTTATTTGTGTGTGCTTATTTTTTAATAAATGTGGTATATTTATGTTTGCTTAAGTGTTAAAGCATAAAATATTGTAATAAATATCATATCTGATTATGAATACCATATGATATTTTAGCTTCTCTGTATCTTATTAGTTTTTGCATACACAAAAATATTATACTTATATTCAGAACAATAGCAATTCTTGATTATATCCTCGTGGTATTCTCTCAAAAGCTTAACTGCAAACTTCTGTCATGATATATTTTTCTTTTCTGTATTCATTTTCTTTTACTGCACATTAGTTTTTTATTTTAAAAATTAAAATATGATGATAATAATAATAATAATAAAATCAGATAAATCATTGAATGTGTGCAGTGTGGTAGTATTTATTATGATTGAATACCATTACAAATAAAAAATTTAAAACTTCAGAATGCATTGTGTAATCTAAACATAGCATGAATTTGACATTTAAACACGCTGTATGATACATGATCAGCGATAAGGTAATGAAAAACACCAGAATTATTTTTACGAAATAAATTATTACCAATACACTGTATATCATCAGATAATAATTATCTTTTAATAAGCATGTAATGGAAACACTAATTTATATATATGTTAATTATAATCTCTTCTAAACTTGTATCGATTGCTGGTTCTAAAGGTTGGAGTATGGTAGTTGTAAGATGTGATTTGACTGTGGCAGTGCTACAGCTTTCCAATGAAAAATTATCAACCTCATAAAAAACACGCGGGCATATCCTGTAGAGTTGCCCATGGAGGACAACTTACAAATAGTTTTCAGGTGCGATTCTGAGTCTGTAATGGGTGCCTGCTGTCACCACTCTTCTTTCATCTTACCATCAACTGGAGAATGAAGACAGAGAACATAGGAATGGAATCCAGTAGTTTTTGTGGAAACAACTTGACAAATAGAACTTTGCAAACAACCTTGCGCTCCTCAACCAACAGCAGATGGGTTTTTAAAAAGGTTCACACTTTTCATTGGAATGCCATAGTGGATCTTCCAGAGGGTGTCATGGTCCACATTGTTGAAAGCTTTTTCATAATCGATGAAATTAATGTATGAGTGTTGCCATCTGATTTGTACAGAATCTATTCTGTTGGAATCATGCTAGCTTGTCTCTTTGTTCTGGATCATTGACATTCCTCATCCTATTCAAGAGGACCCTATTAAAAACTTTCCAAGGTACTGACAGGAATGTGATTTCCCTGAAGTTGTTACAGTTACTCAGGTCACCTTTCTAGGGAAGCTCTATCAGATGGCCTTCCTTCCAGTCAGTTGGTATTTCCTCCTTCTCCCATATCCTCTCAAAGAGTGGGTTTAACAGTGTAACACTTGTACTAATGCTCCCTGGTCTGCTTTTAAGGTCTCTGCTGAGGAGGTTGTCAATTCCAGCTACCTTCCCACACTTTGTGAGGGAGATGGCCTTGATAATCTCCTCTGTAGTTGGCTTCTTGCAAGGGAGATTTACTTCAATATATATATATATATATATATATATATATATATATATATATATATATATATATATATATATATATATATATATATATATATATATATATATATATATATATATATATATACTAGGCATACTGCCTAGCTTCGCTTAGGTTTTCAAAAACATTTGATAATTGGAATACCAATTATTTGGTGATGGATGAGGTATGGAGTGCTTAAATTTAAACTGTAATGCTAAGTTAAGAGAAGATGTATGTTGTTTCACATCCGCTTGCAGTGAAAACATTAAAAGTACACAATTTATAAATAAAATGGAATTAGAAATACAGAGGTTCCATGAACAGTATATCTCATAATTTATATTACATTGACTTTTAAAATAATTTTTTTTATTTAATTAATATATATAGCTTAATTAACAACTTATCTTTTTCTAAAACAAATACTATACTTTGTCGTTTTCTGTTTTTGTTTTAAAAAGTGAACAATTATTTGAAAAATAATTATTTTAAAAAGTTACCTCCCTTGAAAATGGACCAAATGACGTATGACTTTGTTTACATTTTTTAGCGCAATTTCCATTCTGGAGAATTGCGTTTATTAACCCGTCATTTCTGGATGTATGAATGTATGAATGGATGGATGTGTGTCCGCAGGTTTAAGTCGTATCTCCTCCTCAACGAAGCAATATCGATGACTAGTTCCAAAAGCAATTATGTTAAGCAAGTTACGAGGATGAACATAGGCTATAAAAATTCCGGGTTTCTTTCATGGATTTCCCGGAAAAGCCAAAAAACCTCGAAAAAAAGCAGTTTTTAGCCCATATCTCGGCAACCAGACCACGTAGCGACTTGAAACATGTACCAATCGATTCCTGCCATAATTTAGAACAATATTGCCGATGAAAGTTTTCAAAAATATCCTTTCGTTCGGTCACAAAAATTTTTTTGAATTAATTAAAATTTGGACCGAATTAGTAGGCATTTTTTCCAACCACACCACACGCGTCATCACGTTCAATAGCTGCACCATCACGTTCTATGGCTTCGTCATCACGTTCAGTAGCTAGGCGCGCAATGTTTTTTAGTCATGTAACTCTATTGTAAATAAAACATGTATTTTAACCAATGGTTTTACTAACCCTGCTCTTGATTTACGCTACGACAGAGCTATTTTTAGATAACATAAGGAAATTGCGCTAAAATTGTCACTAGACTTTTTAATTAACTTGTTTTTTAAACAGTTACTATGCTTATATAAGAAAATATGATATATGAACATAGTTGACGACTACAATGGCTTTTTCCGACGGGAATAACGTTTTTTTGTTACCCTCCAGGGTCGGTCTACGACCTCAAATAATATTAATGATCGTTCGTCAATTTATTTATATATTATCTCATATAAGGAGAATTTCCCTCGCGGTCATCTTTTAGCCCTGGTCGAGGGCTTTGAGTCTGACCAACAGTTTTTCCATACGGCCTAGTCATCTATAGAAGTGTATGCAAAACATTAGCATGATGTACAGAGGTTAAGTAACCTAAAACTTATGTTGAAAATTCCCTGTTTTTCCCATAAAATACAAAGATTATATAGTGAAATACAACTGGTCAGTTTTGGCCCTTTTACAAAGTTTTCCCAGATATTCCGAGTTTTTTGTGACACCCCTAGGTGTTCTTCTACCACCTCACAAAATATCAAGGGGGGTCGTCGGAGGAAATTTTTTTTCGTAATAGAGCTCATATAAAGAGAATTTCACTCGCGGTCACTTTTTAGCCCTCGTCGAGGGCTTTGAGTCAAACCGACAGTTTTCCCTAAAGGTCAAGCCATTGACCTAGGAGCATGCAAAAAATTAGCCAGATGTAAAGAGGGTAAGTGCCCTAAAATCCGTTTTGAAATGACCCTCTGTTTTTCCCATAAAATACAAAGATTATATAGGGAAATACGACTGGTCTGTTTTGACCCATTTCCCGATTTTTCCCGGACATGGCGAGTTTTTTGTGACACCCCAAGGCGTTCTCCTACCACCTCACAAAATATCAAGAGGGGTCGTCGGAGGAATTTTTTTTTGTAATAGAGCTCATATAAAGAGAATTTCACTCGCGGTCACTTTTTAGCCCTCGTCGAGGGCTTTGAGTGTAACCGACAGTTTTCCCTAAAGGTCAAGCCATTGACCTAGGAGCATGCAAAAAATTAGCCAGATATACTGAGCTTAAGTATCCTAAAGTCTGCGTTGAAATGACCCTCTGTTTTTCCCATAAAATACAAAGATTATATAGGGAAATACAACTGGTCAGTTTTGACCCCTTTACGAAGTTTTCCCAGATATACCGAGTTTTTTGTGACACCCCAAGGTGTTCTCCTACCACCTCACAAAATTTCAAGGGGGGTTGTCGGAGGAAATTTTTTTTCGTAATAGAGCTCATATAAAGAGAATTTCACTCGCGGTCACTTTTTAGCCCTCGTCGAGGGCTTTGAGTGTAACCGACAGTTTTCCCTAAAGGTCAAGCCATTGACATAGGAGCATGCAAAAAAATAGCCAGATATACTGAGCTTAAGTATCCTAAAGTCTGCGTTGAAATGACCCTCTGTTTTTCCCATAAAATACAAAGATTATATAGGGAAATACAACTGGTCAGTTTTGACCCCTTTACGAAGTTTTCCCAGATATGCCGAGTTTTTTGTGACACCCCAAGGTGTTCTCCTACCACCTCAAAAAATTTCAAGGGGGGTCGTCGGAGGAAATTTTTTTTCGTAATAGAGCTCATATAAAGAGAATTTCACTCGCTGTCACTTTTTAGCCCTCGTCGAGGGCTTTGAGTGTAACCGACAGTTTTCCCTAAAGGTCAAGCCATTTACCTATAAGCATGCCAAAACTGAGCCAGATGTATAGAGGGTAAGTGCCAGAAAATCCGTTTTGAAATGACCCTCTGTTTTCCCCATAAAATACAAAGATTATATAGGGAAATACGACTGGTCAGTTTTGACCCATTTCCCGATTTTTCCCGGACATGGCGAGTTTTTTGTGACACCCCAAGGCGTTCTCCTACCACCTCACAAAATATCAAGGGGGGTCGTCGGAGGAAATTTTTTTTCGTAATAGAGCTCATATAAAGAGAATTTCACTCGCGGTCACTTTTTAGCCCTCGTCGAGGGCTTTGAGTGTAACCGACAATTTTCCCTAAAGGTCAAGCCATTGACCTAGGAGCATGCAAAAAATTAGCCAGATATACTGAGCTTAAGTATCCTAAAATCTGCGTTGAAATGACCCTCTGTTTTTCCCATAAAATACAAAGATTATATAGGGAAATACAACTGGTCAGTTTTGACCCCTTTACGAAGTTTTCCCAGATATGCCGAGTTTTTTGTGACACCCCAAGGTGTTCTCCTACCACCTCACAAAATTTCAAGGGGGGTCGTCGGAGGAATTTTTTTTTCGTAATATATCCCATATAGGGCGCCGGTCAGTCGAGGTCAGTTTTGACCCCCTCTCCGTAGACTTTTTGCCGAACCGTCACCGGCCCTCGTGTTCTATCGCCATAAGGCACCTTCGTGCCAAATTTGACGCGCCTGCGGCGCCGGGAAGTGCCCTATCGGGCACCCGACCACTTTGCTTTATATATATAGACTAGGCATACTGCCTAGCTTCGCTTAGGTTTTTAAAAAACATTTGAGAATTTGAATAGTTAATTATTTAGCGATGGATTGGGTGTGGAGTGCTTTAATAGGTTTAATTTAAACAGTAATGCTAATTTTAGAAAATAATGTTTTTGTTCGTCATTTACATTCCGTTCCAAGACAATATCTGGAAAGTACGCAATGTATAACTAAAATGGAATTAGAACTACACAGGTTTCATGAACAGTATATCTCATAGTTTATATTACACTGCCTTTTGAAATTAATTAATTTATTTAATTAGGTTACTTAACTTAATTAACA